GTATGGACCAGACAACCCAGTGATTTTGTCATGAGCATCGATCTACGCAATTGGGATACGATGACATGCATCAACCAAGTCAGCGAGCCTGACCACCCGATCCCGTTTGTCGCCTCTTACGACAAGCATAGTCGCCGATTAAAGTGAAGTTTGGCGTCCCCGTTATCTTGCAAATTTTTCTCTTTATTGTTTTTTTTACTTGTCTTTTTTTCTTCCTTAGCGCCGCACTCAGCAATATTCCAACTATATGTGAATGCGGGTTCTGTATTATTGTTGGGGCACGGCTGGCCCAGTCGTCTCGGGCGCCGCAATTTGCTGTGCAGAGTTGCGTCCCATGGGCACGCCAACAACCTACGATTGGAGTTTCGAATCCCGGTTCGCCCCGATTATGTTTCTAGATTTGTCAGCACCATATCCGTGCTCGTGGGTTTCACCGAAGTGGTAAACGTCTGAGTCCTGCATCACTTCGGGCTTTCCTCCCACATTAAGCTGACACACCGTGATATAACTGGAATAACTTATCTAATGTTTGCACTGTGAACTGACCAACATCTATTGATGATACTTTATAAGAGCCTGAGTTATGGAATGTGTCAAGGCTACCATAGTCCTTTTCTCTTCCTTCCTGGGTGTCTCACCTTGTTTTAGATCAAGAGTATATACTCTTCATAGTAGGTTTGGAATCGCTGTGCGGAATAAGTATTGGATATATCAGTTTGTCAAGCTTTTGAGTTACCTGTTATGTCTACATGACTTGGTAACCTACAAAAGATGCCTGAAGGCAAAACAATGAATTTGAAAAGATGATGAAATGTTAAGATTGGTTTTGTAGTTAAATATAGGTGATTGCAGTGAAAATTGACCTGCAATCTGGGATTCTTGAGGAGACAGTTTTGAACCCAATGAACGTAGCACTTGCCATCCTTTGACCCGTCTATGAAAATGGATCTATGAGAATTATATTTGTTCGTAATTCGTTATATACTTGTTGATTTGTTGATTTGCCAGGGAGAAGAAGACAGAAGTCGGTAGGGTGATGTAAAAATTCTCTCTTATTTAGCTGCAGTGATGTGTGGTGAAATCAGGTTTGACAAATTTCGAAACTGGTTTTAATGCAGAGGGTTACAAATACAATTGTATGCTGGGTTTGACTGATTTGAATACAATTTAGTGATGAATTGCAGTGATAATGTAATGCAGCGTTGTTCGAGGGAAGGTTCATCACCTTCAACATACAAACTGTCCACAGTAGAGGTCCTGATGCTTCAAGGAAGAGGCTGAGGCCTTGGTGGTGCATAGTGTCTATTTTTTCTAAATTGCTATTGTAGGCTCTATCATAGATAGTGAAACCTTTGTCTACTTTAGAGCGTATTAACGATATGTACAAGTGAACGAGGGTTATTGGATCCCCTCCCCACTCGGAATTTGAAACAACTTTTAACAAATCGAAAGCCTCCAGGAATTTTGCCTGGAGATATATGATGTGTGGTAAGAATGTGAGATGACGGTCAAAAATGAGGCCCAGGAATTTGGCCTCCTCTACTACCTTGATAGAAGCATCATATAAAAATATATCTTGATCCTTATGCGGTTTGTATTTATGACCAAATGAATGCAGTTTGTGTTGGATTTAGAAAATTTGAAGTAATTTTCGTTGGCAATTTTTTTTTAAATTGTAAAGGCTGAGTCTTTCTATTGTATGCATATTCTTACCACGACAAGAAATGTTGAAATCATCCACAAAAAGTGAACCATCAACACTATTGTTTAACACTTTGATAAGACTATTAATTTTGATGCTAAACAAATTAAAATGGAAATTAAATGGTTGGTAAATAATATCAGATATGATATATACAGTTGTAATAGATCATGTCATTCTCATTATCGAGGTAAAATAGGCATGCCATTATATGAGCTGCCGTCCTAGACTTCTATAGCTACATGTATTAAATATATGTTTGCCTAAATTCATTATCTTACCACCTTCCCAAAACTACAACATGGTCCTTATCTCCCTCTAATGTGTCTGAACAATCCCACTATTTCTTCAGGCCATTCTTGTAGAGGAGTGATGAAGGCGAGGATGTGACTGCAATACACTGTCCTCGTACTAGACTTAAGCTTCGCCACTGCACCATCCAATGTTGGCCACCAAACAAAGCTTCTAATTGGACCCTTCATTTTAACTATTCCTGTATGTTCGCGGTGCAGTTCGTCCAGGTGGTCACAGGGTTGTAGAGTAGGAGGATTGATCGCTAGTAACCCCCATAGAAGGACACCTTGTTCAATTGACAGTTCAAATCACCATTTAATTTGAGTTGCCTGCTTACTAATACTCATGAAGAAAATAGATAACCCAGTGGTACATGTACAACAAAACTGTGCGTAAATACCCAATGTAGGACATCTTGTTCAACTCTCCAGAACCAACCACAGAATTTGCAAGATCTTGGCACCATTTTGCAGCAACAATGACGTCGTCTTCCCAATCATGTGTTCATAAGCAACACAAGGTCCATGCGGGGGCGTTGTGTGGCAGTTGTCAACGCACATGGTGGCCATACACGCTACTGAACTTGTGTGCCATCAGATTCTTGTGCTTTGGACTTATGATTTAAACTGTTGATGTTATTACCGAATACCGTAGGTGCTTGAAACAAATTATGGTTACCACCCTTAATGAAAATCTTTCTTTGGACATTAATGATTAAAAATTACCTTCTCTGATACATTTGTCCGTTGTATATCATATACATTTACTTTTAAAAATGTGAAGTTTTTAATTTGACTCAGTATACATAGAGGCGTACAATTGTGGTGTCACTCGTAGGCGTGTGCCTCCAAAAGAACTCGGCTCGGGTGCTGTCTTCTGATTGGTCAAAAACCCAAGCCTCTGATTGGTCAGGTTTCGATCCTGTTTTGGGGAAGGGTTGTCTATAAATCTGACGTTCAGTCAATCTTATAGTGCAGACGTTCATCAGGCACTCATCGCCATCATGACGGACAATCAGAGTACGCCCTATCGTTTGGAGACTACTTGGTAACCGCACCACCGGTCCGCGTTCCCATAGAACTGCAGTCCTTATTTGACAGGGTGATCGATGACTTCTATCAATAGATGTCAGGCCAGAAGGGAGATCGTATTGGTCTAGGTATCGACCACCCTGCTTTGAACACTCCCACACGGATTCCCTTTCGTCGCTTTGAAGATCACCATGGGCTAGATATCTTGCATGACGTGGAGAAAGCCCAACAGTCCAACAAAGCCCTGAACATCGATGCCACCATGGTTGTGACTTTAGTACACGTAGCAGATCCCAACAGGCTAGGATCAGGCAGTGCTGATCCCCGTCTGAAAAACGTGGTTGGACTTGAAGTATTTTTAGAATGCAAAAGGGGTATTGTACAGATCAAGAATGAAGATCAATCCTGTTTGGCAAGGGCCCTTTTGGTGGCACAGCATTATGCCCAGAAGCCCAACCCTCTGACCCAAGAATGGAAGAGACTGACGAGAAAAGATCGAGGGGGCGACGTTCAAGGCAAACAGGGACAGGACTTCTTTCAGTGCCTTGGCATTCTTGAAGGTCCCTGTCGGGGCCTGGACGACCTAGCACGCATGGGACGCGCCTTGGCCCCCATCAGTTATCAACTGAAAGTCTACAGTCAAGAGGTGGACCAGAGACTGATGTACAAGTGTGATGAGGCTCCACCCAGCGCCACCGTGCTGCATTTATTCCATCATGATCACCACTACGATGTGATCACTTCCATGCCAGCCTTTTATGCGTCTAGCTATTACTGCGAATGCTGCGACCACCGTTACGACCATCCCGAAAACCATCCCTGCACCAAGCAATACTGCTGCCACCGTTGCCTCCACTCTAGCTATTGCGGGCCCAAGGAAGAGCATGGGATCCCTTGCTTGACATGTCAACGTTGGTTCCCAAATCAACAGTGTGACACCCAACATCTCCAATCACCGTGAGAGGGAAAACCCAGCACCTGTCAATAGATTCACAGGTGCCCGTCCTCTTTTCAGCTGGTCCGCGTCTTGGAGACCCCCAGGGCTGATGAAGAACATCCCTGCTTAGTGTGTCGAGAACCAATGACCCCAGACCATCGCTGTTGCATGCCACCCCTCCGTGAAGCCAATGAGGAAGAGGAGGAGGAGGGGTAAGAGCAAGAATGCTACAACCAAAACCGACGAGACAACATCAAATACGTCTTCTATGATTTTGAATGCAAGCAAGACATTGGGGAGCACATCCCAAATTTGTGCTTGGTGCAGTTAGGATGTGGACGATGCATTGGTGAAGCGACCAAGGAGTTGTGCGAACACTGTTCATGGAGAGAAGAAGGTTATGGTCCCAGCTGCGAGATCGTGTTTTGAGGCCCCAACACGCGACACAATGTGTGTGTCTGGTTGACGACTCTGGCCGAAAAAAACAAGAAGAACCAAGAGGAAGAGGAGGGCAACACACGCAAGGGGACAACGTCACGGCTAGGGAAAAGAAAACAGGATGGAACCCTCTCAACTCATTCACCAACAAAACGTCAGCGACGTTCATCACCCCAGGAGGAGGAGGGCAAGGGGGAGGATGCCATGGAGGTGGACGCGCCCCCACCGTTGGAGGAAAAGGGGAAGGAGAAGACAAAGAAGCTGAAGAACACCACTGTCCAGAAGGAGGAGCTCATTTATGTGATGGGCACATAACGTGCGATCCTATGATTTGCACTTGATCCTGAAGGGCCTGTACCCACATCTGGTGAAACTCCCCACCAAGATTCGGAATTTACAACAGATTTTACAGGTGACCCTGGGACGATTGTGTTTCAAAGACAGTTTGAATTTCATACCCTACCCACTGTAAGCATTTCCAAAAACCTTTGGACTGAATGAACTGAAGAAAGGGTATTTTCCACACTTTTTCAATACCGAAGGCAACCAGACCTACAGAGGTCCCTCTCCAACAGCCGTCATGTACAATCCCGATTGCATGTGTCCTGCAAAACGCACAGCCTTCCTCCAGTGGCATACCAAGAAAGTTCAAGAAGGAGCCTTGTTTGACTTGCAAGAAGAACTCTTAGCCCACTGTCAGAGCGATGTCGACATTTTGAGACGTGGATGCACTAACTTCCGACAGAATGCCAACAGGACGGTTCACATGGATCCCCTTGTAGAGGTGATCACAGCCGCTGCGTTCACAATGAAATCCTTCCGAAAACACGATCTGAAACCCGATACCATGGCCATTCTTCCACCTCAAGGCTACCAACCCAAGAGAAACTATTCCCAGGCCTGTATGCACTGGATAAGTTATCTCATGGAGACCAACCCCGATCTGCAACTCCAGCACGCCAGGAATGGAGGTGAAAAAGAGTTCACGTGTGGATAAGGGCAAACATCGGTACAGTGTGGATGGCTACAATCCAGTGACAGGCACCATCTACGAATTCCTAGGGTGTTTCTGGCATGGGTGTCAGACATGTCAAAAGACCAAACGTGGAGAACGTGGAGAACCTCATCCTCATCGATGGGAGCACGTTATACCGACACCCGTTACCGTTACCTGAGTCTCTTGAACCAACACCCTGAGGTGAAACTGGTCGTCACCCTGTGGGAATGTGAGCTTTAAAAAATGCAACAGGAGGACTCCTTTTTGCGTGCTTTCTTGCAGGGACCCCACTGTATCCACTTAACTGGTCCGCTCAACCCTTGCGACGCCTTCTATGGAGGATGCACCAATGCCACTCGATTATGCTACGAAGCCCAAGAAGGTTGTGTTGGTTCATGTGAACTGGGGAATAAAAAGTTGAACAAACATAAGTCTTATGTTGTCTTTTTTGTTAGGATGGAGAAAAAACAAAACAGGATCGAAATGCGCACCAAAGAAAAGAACCGGATCGAAATCTGACCAATCAGAAGCCTGGGTTTTGGACCAGTCAGAGGCCACCTTTGCCCTGAGCGGCCCTCTGATTGGTCGAACCGAGGTTGTGCTTTCTCTCCCATGGTAAAATCCATTTTCTATGGAAAAGAAACACAAGGGTCGAGCCAGTTTGGAAAACTGGGGTGAAGACCAGAGGCCGGAATGAACCAATCGGGGGCGCTGCATGTTGGACCAATCAGGAAGCAGGGTGTCAGTCCCTTTCCTTTAAACAAGAGCGAACTCTCACACACAGCATTCTATGAAATCAACCATGTCGTCTCGATACAACTGCATGAAGTGTCAGACCGACAGTCACAGTTACCTGTACTGCCCTGAAGTGACATGTACCGAGTGCCACACTCAAGGTCACAGCCACTATGTCTGTCCGAAGATAAGCAGTCAAGATAAACAGAAGACTCCCCAGGGCCTATGTTACAACTATCAAGTCGTGGGTCATTTTGCTCCAGATTGTCCAGAACCCAGTCGAAAGAAGACTCCCCAGGGCCCATGTTACAACTGCCAAGTCGTGGGCCATTTCGCTGCAGATTGCCCAGAACCAAGTTGAAAGAAGACTTCAGCAGTGCTGTCCATGTCGACACCAGTGACACAAGTGACACAAGTGCTTCATCTCATAGAAGCCATGCATATCGATGTCCGTGCCCTAAAAGAATGCATCACACAACTCCATGGGGGCATCGCACCACGTCTAGGGAAAAGAAAACGGGACAGAAGCCCCTCAAGAAAGCACTCTTCAAAGTGCCGACGACGGCATCAGTCCGAGGAAGAGGAGGAAGAAGAAGAAGATAGATCATCTGAGCAAAGAGACTAACGCATGGGACATGCATCTCCACTGTTTTTCTTGATCTTGATCTGATAATCTTCTTACCTGTATCTTGAGAGGCTGGTCAGGTGCCCTTCCGCCTACCTCTATCTAGATTCTCAAACAGCATGCCAAATCAGTGACATTACAAGAACTAATTGTGCTCGTCTTTCAGATGATGTTCACGTCGAACATGCAACAATAGGTCTGCTTGGAATTTATTTTCACAATACGTCAGACTGTCAAACTCGAAGGCTGTACGAATAGTGGTATATATGAACCAAACTCCAATTTGGATGGAAATTGACAAGTTCATCTATAGTTATACGAAATGTTTATGAATACAAATTGCCACATTCGCAAATACAAAACACATCGGTTGTGTTCAAATCATTCAACCGACCATTTCCCTACAGTTGTCGATTGCCATTGAACGTCTCAGACGTGATAGGGTCAACACCTATCATAGGACGAAAACCCTTTGACAATTTTGCGGAGTCCATTGTACATTTCCAGCTATATCATGATCATGTGTTTATATATCAAATAGTCATGTGAACCAGGAGTTCGCTAAAAGGTGAACGAATCCTGCCCTACCGGAGGCACCCATCACAAACAGATGCAAAGGCAGGTCAATTGTTCACCCGAGGAAACATGGAAAAATTTTATCGGCCATCATTTTCATTCTACCATGAAACATTTTGAAAGCTTTACTGAGGCCTTGAATTTTGTAATATGTTAACAAGAGTCGTATGACGCTCTTTGAAATCTTCACACAAAGAACCAACTTTGAGTGAGTGAGTTGGGTTTAACACCATTTTTAACAGTACTCCAGTTATATCACGGCGTGTCAGCTTGATGTGGGAGGAAAGCCCGAAGTGATGCAGGTCTTAGACGTTTACCACTTTAGTGAAACCTAAGAGCATGGGTATGGTGATGACAAACCTAGAAACATGATCCGGGCGAACCGGGATTCAATCCCACAATCACAGGTTTCGGGCATGTCAAAGAGACCTAACTCTGCTCAGAGAATTGCAGTACCATAGACGACTGGGCCACCCGTGCACCCAGGCCTTGATTGAAAAGACATTGGGTACCATCAAATATATTGAAGCAAACCACATATGAAACCAAAAACAAACCGTATGCATTGAGACCTAAAGTTAAAGAAAAACAAGAAGAACCAGCAATGAGTATAGTAGTGAACTACTGTCTTCCTTAACTAGCAGATCTCTTTGATACATTGACAGGAAGCAAAGTGTTATCCCGAATTGTTCGGCGAAGGCTTTTCACCAGTTGAGAGCATGTGACAAAGAAGTTGTTGTTCATTAACACTCGCAAGGGATTACATGCATACAAAAAGCTACCATTTGACATTGTCCTTTGATTTCTCAAGAGACCATGGAGAAAAGTCTTCAAGATTTGCCATGCAGAGTGATTCTTCAACACGACACTGACGATTTTGGGGGGAACATCTATATGTTTTTGCAGCATACTTAATCAGCACCAAAGTTTCGTTTATACTGAGAAATAGTTAATCCTGATGATTTCACAATGAAGGGTATTGTCCAGATTACAATCTGCTTAACCTTATAATATGATTATTCCACACTGTGTTTACTATAGCTGTCAGCATAACGAAAGCATAGGAATTGTTAAAAGGTATGTTGGCAATATAGTTCAAGCACTTAGTTGACGACCAATTCATTCCAAATATCACCTAAATGATCGGTGGCTTCAACAGCATTTGAAACATGTAATGCACATTTATTTTGTTCTGCCTCAATGACAAAGGTCTCACAAATAAACTGTTAAAATACATTTTAACAAACTCATGTTGATCAAATTGAATTCCAATGTTTGAATTCATGGATGACATGTCAAATTATTCATAAAATGTACAAGATCTTTCTTCCAGGGACTCATTGATAGCAGCTTTGGGCCAAGTCTACAGGACCTCCAGTGCCTGTACTCCGTGGGTGTTCAGACCATCAGCACCCTGTTTCCTGTGTACGCTGGCTTCAAGACAGCAGGCAGCGTGCTGTACGTGCCGGTACATGCAGTGTTCAATGTGTATACACTGATGATGGTGTGTGTCCTTGTCAGCAGTTGCCTCGTGTTGGTAATACCCCTCTGTTCCTCATTCTGGGTGGCTGCAGCTGCAAGTTCTGGCTTAGGACTGACCAGTGGAGTTGTAAACAGTGGTGAGTAGTTGTGGAAGACAGTATTGTAACTGTGTAATGTCTTGGACAATATATACCTGCATTTAGTCATTATCTAATTATCGCCTCCGTGGTCTAGTAGTAGAGCCCCTGCCCGGAGAGCGGAGTCGTCATACCAAAAGACGTTAAAAGATGATACTTGTTGTTACCCTATCTCGCGCTCGGCATTAAGGGGCTAAAACAAGGACTGGTCGGCTCGGAGTCAGTATACTGTGTCTGAGTGGAGTATTCATGTTAAACTGCGGCATGGTATCTCAGTGGGCTGGCACTATAAATCGGCATCAGTCATTATTGTAACTGTTGTGGTTGCAGTGAGCCCGGTTACTTTGTGACTGTGCATGTGCTCCTATATCTTAGACAATATATTCCACAATATAGTCATAATCTAACTCGTAACTTCAAAAGAGGTGGTTTATTAGGGGTTAACATGTTTATTCAAAAGGAGGGTTAAAACCCTTTGAACATTTTCGCTCCACCTGTGTCTACCAGGTTAGAGTTATCCGCAAGTACTCTATTGCTAAAAAAGAATTGATCAGGTGGTCAAGCTCCAAGATTGGTTGTGTGACATTGTACCACAACGGACTGCAGCCACTGGTTCGTCTGGCCAATTGTATAACCGGAATATTGCGGACTGTGGTGAATACCAACACACAAACAAAACTAACAAAACATGTCAGTTGACAAATTGTATTTAATGACACTTATGTTTTATCATTGCAGCAAGAGTTGCCAAGATTGGTGCATTAAGCCAGGAGAGTGCTATTCCCCTCCACTTGATGGGGATAGCAATGTGCGCTGGCAACATCCTAGGACCATTGATTATCTCCCCTTTTCTCAACAACACAACCAACCAAAGCAACGCGTCTAACATGTCAGACTTGGTCGCGACGTCAATCGAATGTGGAGGGTCAGACTCAAGAATAGCTTACGCATATCTGATCATTGCATCAACTGGAACACTACTAGTTATTGTCTTGGCTGTTTTACGTTATTGTCTACAAAACAGTCCCAAGCAGGATTCAAACAAGAAAAACAAATATTCCTTTGGAAAGATGGAAATTATTTTTGTCAGCTTCCAAATATCTTTAATATTCATAGGAGGCGCCACGAATTTCGTATACGGGACCTTACTCTTGCTCTTTGGAACCCGAAGCAGTCTCAGCATACCAGAGACAACAATGGCACTGATGACATCATCTTTTTATGCAGTGACATTGTTTGGGCGTGTTGGGGGCGTGTTTGTGAGCTTAGTAGTGCGGCAGCTGTGTTTGGTCACATCGTGTTTGGTAGGGGTTTTAGCTGCATCTGTTTTTCTGGTATGTACTGCAGAAATGAGTTCGGAGTTTTTATGGGCGGGTTCCCATTTTCTCGGACTGTGCTATGCTCCGGTTTTTTCTGCTCTATTGGCATGGTGTGTGGAAAATGTTACAGTGAATGATACATTGTATGCCATTTTCATATTATTTGACTTGGCAGGAACATCATTGATAGCCCTTACTATAGGGCAGTTGATGTCACATTTCCAACCTCAAATGCTGCATTATTCCATTGCAACGATAGCTTTGATACAAATACTTTTATTCCTCTGTTTGTTCTTCCTTGGAAAGTGGCTACGAAAACAAAACAAAGAAGACTACACGCCTCTGGATGGAACAAAACGTGGATGACAAAAATCCTTCACAGATGTAATGCGAGAATTATCTAGTTTCATTTCAACAACTTTTAACTAATGTTAATTAATCTGCAGCCCAAAACTGTTTTATCGGTTTCGTTAAGAAAAGTGTTACTTCTTTGTTGTTGATTTATAATATACTCTCCTCAACTTTATTATGGTTGCACACATTATTGTTGACTGTCCGCGAATGTTGATCCACCAGAATAAGGGAAAAACCTGATTCTTGCAACATCACCTGTCTACTGAACCTGAATATTTTATGATGCCTTGAATCTTGAATTTCATAGACAGTTAAATGTCTATTCATTGCCCTTTCTAATTTGTCACAATTATCCTAAACAAAACAGCTTTGACAATTCCGACATTGCCGCATGTGTTATGTCAATACTTTTAGTTCAAACGTCCTTTAACTTAAATACATTATTGTTTCAATAGTTTCCAAAGTTCACAGAGATCCTGTCCCCTTTGTCTGTTTAATGTATTTACCAAACATTAGGCGTATCCCCTCTAATCATAAGACCCGTGAAGATACCGGGTTAGAATAGGTCTTCAGCAACCCATGCTTGCCGTAAAAGACGACTATGCTTGTCGTAAAAGGCGACTAACTGGATCGGGTGGTCAGGCTCGCTGACTTTGTTGATGTATGTCATCGATCCCAATTGCGTGGATCGATGCTCATGATATTAATCCCTGGGTTGTCTGGTCCAGACTCGATTATTTACAGACCGCCGTCATATAACTGGTATATTGCTGACTGCGGCGTTAAGCAACCAACCAACCAACCTCTAATCATAAGCCCCCTCGGGGCAGGACCCTTAAACCCCAGCGCTATCTATTAATGTCAGTTAAACAACCTTTCCCCATCAACAATAAATATGGCTGCTGTCATCTAAACGTTATTCCTGATTTTTGTCTTCCGTCTCCACCCTGAGGTACCATCCTAGGGGAAAGCATGTGCTGTGCTCTTGGACACATGTATGCCACGACCGACGACAGGTCCCCAGTCTCCAATTTAAAACTCCTCATACAAAAATGCCATCCAACTGCAGCGTAATAAAATACAACGTAATACCGAATTACCTACCAGTTTGGTATCCAGGGAAACATCCCTCCCAGCAACAACGCCGGTCAATAATAAACACAACATCCAAAGAAGCAAATTTAAGTTCTTCGTTTGTTGTGTAACGCCGCGCTCGATCAGCAATATTCCAACTTTATGACAGCGATCTGTAAGTAATCGAATCTGGACCAGACAGTTCAGTGATTGACATCATGAGCATCGATCCACGCCATTCGGATCGATGACATGTATCAACCAAGTCAGCGAGCCTGACCACCCGATACCGTTAGTCGCCTCTTACGACAGGCATAGTCGCCTTTTACGGCAATAATGGGTTGTTAAAGACCTATTCTACCCCGGATCTCCACGGGCAGAAGCACTGTTTAACTCCGCATAAGTGTTGTTCCTGAAAACAAATGGAAATGGGGGTGGATGTAATTCACCGAACGTCAGACAAATACACGCACTGAGGTTAATATCCGCGATGACGAGCTGTCACTCGGATCGCTATGTACTAGAATTTCCTGGGCCTAACTATTTTAAGAAAGAGAAGAGGCAAATTGTACAACTGAACTGGAAAAATGTTTTACTGTATATTTTCATTCATCATGGTGAGCTTGGGTAATATTTAACAGGAGACTTTAACGCAAGGACTGGAAATGAAGAAGTGATTTTATAGAAGATGACACTTCTATTTATCTCCCTTGTTGTGATGTATGTGATGGTGACAGCTTTTAACAATCAAAACGCTCGAAAGAAAGCGTGGTCAGTAACTTTGATAAAAGTTTACTTGAATTATGCACAACATTTCACGTACACTTTTCAAATGGAACACGCAAATTGGATCCCATAGGGGACGATACTTTCATATCACATTCAGGCAAAAGAATGACTTACCAGACCGCTTTGCCATTTTATGAAACTTGAAACATTGTTTGGAAATGCTGAAAAACCTGATGATGAAAAAAAACTACCAAGTGGAACAGTTTACAGTTTTGTTTGTTTTTTGTTTAACGCCGCACTCAGCAATATTCTGGACCAGACAATCCAGTGATTGACATCATGAGCATCGATCAACGTAATTGGGATCGATGACAAGCATCAACCAAGTCAGCGAACCTGACCACCCGAACCCGTTAGTCGCCTCATACATGCATGGTCGCCTTTTATGGCAAAGCATGGGTTGCTGAAGACCCCGGATCTTTATCATATTCCAGTATATTCCAACTATATGACGGCGGTCTGTAAATAATCGAGTCTGGACCAGACAAAAATACAGTGATTAATATCATGAGGATCGATCCACGCAATTGGGATCGATGACATGCATCAACCAAGTCAGCGAGCCTGACCACCCGATCTCGTTAGTCGCCTGTTACGACAAGCAGAGTCACCTTTTACGGCAAGCATGGGTTGCTGAAGACCTATTCTACCCCGGAATCTTCACGGGTCCTATGATTCAAAGAGCAGGACTTGAGTTTTTTCAACAAACTAGTAAACGTGACCTTTTCTGAACATAGCAATGATATTTTGCTTGTCATTAATTTCTGTTAAAAAAATAAATCAGGGTTACATGACGCAGAAGTATGCGTTCAGTACGCAGAATGTGTATAGAATGGACGCAGAAAAAATATATTGCTTCCCGATGACCTGACATGAATATTCATTCAATATTACCGAAGTCTTAAATATAAAGGTCCTCTAATTAAAGTAATTATCAAATCGGACAGTACACTACACTATTTCATTATTTTACACATCTTACCCAGGCATTGGAGTTAACTGACTATAAACGTTCTGTTTCCACCCTTGACAAACTAGATTGGAATTTCTGGGCTCGATCGTAGCGCCACCAGTGGCTATAACGATTTATGTCCTTTCTACATGTATGTCCCTTCTACTGACCAATCAGATTCCGCCTCTAACATCACATCATTTGCTTCAAACAAAATGGCGGCGCCCAGTCAAGATCATAAAAATCTAAATCGTGATAAAACTTGTCTTACTTCGCAAAATGCATCAAATCACGTTAGCACATTGATTAAAAACATGAAAACATTTGAAAAATATCTGTTGACCCCGAGCTGGCAGTTCACATGCTTTGCAAATCCTTCAATCGACCGAAATCTACACTACAGTTACGTAGCTGGAATATTGCTGAGTGCGGCGTAAAACAACAAACGAATTACGAACCGGATGTCGATTTCGTTAAGCGACTTTTGATTGGACTATGCACAGCCTCGTTAGTCCAGTCAAAATAGAACGCCATAATTCCAGCCTAGTTCGGCAAGGGTGGAAACTGGACATTTATACTCAATTAACTCACTTGCCTCGGGAAGATGTATTTTACAGAACCCTCATATTGCCTGTAAGGGTCCCTTAGATTTGTAGGTCTATGTAAAACTTGGGGAGATCATCTGAACTTTCAGTTTGTTGCCTGGGCTCACTGAACAAAGAGGTGTCATGCTGTGATTACAATTAATCTTCTGGCAGGATTTGGATAATTTTCCCATATGCATTGCGCATGTGACTATTGTGGCACATGTTTCTTATTTCTTCCAACTATTTCCGGGGGCACGGGTGGCCCAGTCGTCTAAGGCGCCGCGATTCGCTGTGCAGAGTTGCGTCCCTTGGGCACGCCAGAAACCTATGATCCCGGTTCGCCCCGATTTTGTTTCTAGGTTTGTCAGCACCATACCCGTGCTCGTGGGTTTCACCGAAGTGGTAAACATCTGAGACCTGCATCACTTCGGGCTTTCCTCCCACATTAAGCTGACACGCCGCTATATAACTGGAATACTGTTAAAAGCGGCGTTAAACCCAACTCACTCACTCACTCCAACTATTTCCAAATAATATACCTATCCTTGACTCGCTATCTTGGTTATCCTAATTGCGTAGATCCATGCTCATGATGTCAGTCAATGGATTGTCTGGCCCAGGCAGGTCGACAAAAATGCAATTACTACGGTTTTAAACATGATCCTGTCAGTTGTGACCAACAATTCGCAAACACATCCATGACCTTAATATGCACATGATGCTGTCTCATGTTAGTTTGAACATCCTGGTGTAGCATTTGCATAAGTATTAATTGGATGGATTCCCGGATGGGCTTTCGACCTTGACGAATGTTATATTCTGTAGTTACAAACCGTCAAAGGTTTTATCGATTTCTCTTGACTTCCACATGGTTGCAAACAGTACGCTTACTCGCCCTATAGTGCACATCCGGAGGGCGATCCTATAACAAGCGCCAAGCATCACTTCCACAGTGCAGACAAGTAAACAAGGACTATTCAATCAACAATGGGAAACTTATGCCAACTCGGGGTAAAACCTTTATCCTGTCGCTATTTGGAGCTGGCCTTACTTCTTGCCGTATCTGGTTTTGATGTGAGTAATCATTGCTAACCATCGGTTGTTAAAGATTAAAGATAATTTGTCGTTATTTTCTTTAAATCTCAAAAAAATGTTTTTAGGTTATTTCATGGACACATCAAACCTACATTTGTTGTATTGGTTTGGTGTGGTTTACTTGTAGGTTAACGCCGCACTCAGGAATATTCAAGTGTATGATTATATTCATTATCTACGTCTTCTTACAATGTGGAAGATTCCGGGGTAGAATAGGTCTTCAGCAACCCATGCTTGCCGCAAAAGGTGTCTATGCTTGTCGTAAAAGGCGACTAACGGGATCGGGTGGTCAGGCTCGCTGACTTGGTTGAAGCATGTCATCGATCCCAATTGCGTGGATCGATGCTCATGATGTCAATCACTGGATTGTCTGGTCCAGACTCGATTATTTACAGACCGCCGTCATATAGCTGGAATACTGCTGAGTGCGGCGATAAAATATAAACAAACAAAACCAATCAAATCTGCATCAGAACTATAATAAGAACTACCTCGCTTTTTATGGTGGTATTGGTATTGTTTTGCTACATTGTACCACAATACTATTAATCATATCCATAGACCAGAGTGAAATGAATATAGAAATCCCAAACAGCTGATCAAGATCACTGATGTGTGTCGTGTGTACAGATAAACATCTGCCAACAAATTGTGTCTGTCAATAGAATATGTTTAATTAGAGCATGTCGTAATGTCCTGTACTACATATTAGTAGACCCGTGAAGATTCCGGGGTAGAATAGGTCTTCAGCAACCCATGCTTGTCGTAAAAGGCGACTAACGGGATCGGGTGGTCAGGCTCGCTGACTTGGTTGATGCATGTCATCAATCCCGATTGCGTGGATCGATGCTCATGGTGTCAATCACAGGATTGTCTGGTCCAGACTCGATTATTTAAAGACCGCCGTCATATAGCTGGCATATTGCGGCGTTATACAACAAAACAAACAAAACAACAGATTCCATTGGGCGTAAAAGGCAAACTAGCAGAGAAAATTATTAAGCCAAATAAAATGTAATATATACCTACCCTTTTGCTTACAACAAATCAAATAAAGTCCAATTATATTTCATATTTTGACAACTGACCCAAGGTTTCTTGAGGCCAATATTGCGTCTATTCCAGGGACTCATTGACAGCTGCTTTGGGCCAAGTCTACAGGACCTCCAGTGCCTGTACTCCGTGAGTGTTCAGACCATCAGCACCCTGTTTCCTGTGTACGCTGGCTTCAAGGCAGCAGGCAGCGTGCTGTACGTGCCGGTACATGCAGTGTTCAATGTGTATACACTGATGATGGTGTGTGTCCTTGTCAGCAGTTGCCTCGTGTTGGTAATACCCCTCTGTTCCTCATTCTGGGTGGCTGCAGCTGCAAGTTCCGGGTTGGGACTGACTGAAGGTGTTGCAAGTAGCGGTTAGTAGTTGTGATCATTTGTTTATTTGTTTATTTAACGACGGACTCTAGTGATCCACGTAATAGTGATCCACGTAATTGGTTGGTTGGTTTGTTGTTTAACGCCGCACTCAGCAATATCCCAGCTATATGACGGCGGTCTGTAAATAATCGAGTCTGGACCAGACAATCCAGTGATTGATATCATGAGCATCGATCCACGCAATTTTGATCGATGACATGTATCAACCAAGTCAGCGAGCCTGACCACCCGATCCCGTTAGTCGCCTTTTACGCCAAGCATAGTCGCCTTTTACGGTAAGGATGGGTTGCTGAAGACCTATTCGTTTTTCATGAGAGGGTTCAGGGATATTATGTTTGAAAACTTTGGGTCGATGTTTGAAATACAAAATTAATATATTTTGACCCTTAAGTTGGATTTGTGTCACTTTGGTGAAAAGAAAATTTAATTACTTATTTTCCTATTTTGCGGGTGGGAATTGGCACCGGAAAATGGGACACTGTTACCCTTGACAAACGAAAGAAGCCACACACTACTTACTGAGTGAACGCAAAGCTATCCATACTATCAATCATCTTTAGTGCGGCGTAAAACAACAAACCAACCAACCAACCAACAGTACGTTTTACGACTACATCCGGTGTTGGAAGATCAGGTCACTCCCCAGGATCAATCGCTCTGGAGGGATCATAGCACTACCCCTTTGCATGATGAAACCAGGCCATTTGCATTAACTTGTGTATCATAATCACTATGTTCATGCCAAGAAAATGTTTCATCGTTCCAGCTTTTGTAGCCACAACTGGTGAGTTGAGTCAAGAAAGTACCATACCTTTCCACTTGTTGGGACTGGCAGCGGGTGCTGGACACATCCTCGGCCCATTAATGATCTCCCCTTTTCTGAGCAACATCAATCCCAATGGAAACAGATCTAACATCACAGCCGACGAATTGGAGATGACGACAGACCCATGTGGAGACTCCGACTCAAACATTATTTATGCATATCTGATCTTTGCTTCATGTGGACTGATACTTGTCATTCTCCTGGCCCTTCTACGTTATGGACGAAAGAGCAACCCGGAGCAGAAGTCCTGCCAGAAGAAAGACAAATCCTTTGGGAAACTGGAATTGATTTTAATCAGTTTCCTTGCATCCTTAATGTTCATAGGGGGTGGCACAAATTTCGTTTACGGGTCACTGTTGTTGCTCTTTGGAATTCATAGCAGTCTACATATGCCTGAGACCACGTTGGCCCTCATGACATCGTCGTTTTATGCCGTGACAGTGTTGGGGCGTGTTGGAGGGGTGTTTGTGAGCTTGGTTGTTTCCCAGTCATGTTTGATCACAGCATGTTTGGTCGGGCTACTAGCTGCATCTGTGTTGCTGGTGTTTACTGCTGAAAGCAGTTTGCTGTATTTGTGGACATGTTCCCATATTCTCGCACTGTTCTATGCTCCGATATATGCAGCACTGATAGCATGGTGTGTGGAAAATGTTAGGTTGAACGATACTGTGTGTGCGATCTTTACATTATGTGACATAGCAGGGACATCACTGGTAGCCGTTGCTATAGGACAACTAATGTCAGTCTTTGAACCTCAAATGCTGCATTATTCTCTCACAACAATAGCTTTGATACAAATACTGCTATTTCTTTGTATTTTCCTCCTTGGGAAGCTGGTACGAAAAGGTACTGAAGAAGAATACACTGTTCTGACTGGTAGTGAGTGAGTAAGTTAGTATGGTTTTCGTCGCTTTTTGCAGTATTCTAGCAATATCACGATAGAGGAATCCAGAAATGGGCTTTACACATAATACTTATGTGGGGCTTCAAGCAAGCCAGCGAGCCTGGACCAGACAATCCAGTGATTGATATCATGAGCATCGACCCAAGCAATTGGGATCGATGACATGCTTCAACCAAGTCAGCGAGCCTGACCACCCGATCCGTTAAACGCCTCTGCCGACAAGCATAGTCGCCCTTTACGACAAGCATGGGTTGCTGAAGACCTATTCTACCCCGGATCTTCACGGGTCTGACTGCAGCTGCACAGGTAGCAAACAGATTCCTGCCTCCCCTGTGTGAGATGCTGTGGATGAGTAGTCACTATCAGTATCGTAAAGACAGGGAAACAAGCAGTATCCAATCACCAATGGGAAGCTTAAACCAACTCGGAGTAAAATCTATGCAAAACTTGCAGCTGGCCTCACAGGTTGCCTTGTCGGCTTGTGACGTAGGTAATCAAGTTAATCCATATTATTCGACACGAGAAGATCGGGGCTCGAATTGATCTTCAGCAACCCATGCTTGTCGCGATCATAAGAGGCGCTGATCTCATGGCGTGGATCGATGCTCATGATTTGTCAAACACTGGATTGATTGGCCATACTCGATTATTTATAGACTGTCGTCATATAGCTGGAATATTGCTGAGTGCGGCGCTAAATAACATACAAGCTTTTGATTCATGTTTTGTTTGCTGTATTCTGTAATTATCTATGCCAGTACAGACTCCCCAGGGAGCTGAGAATCAAACCGAGTGCACACTGAGCCATTGACCGGGGTAATAATAGTGTAACGCTTTCAGCATGCCCCTGTCTGGTGTGGAAATATAGCGCAATATAAGTGGTTTATTATAATTATTATAATTATTTTTTTTTATATTATTATTATTGTTGTTGTTTTTATATTATTATTATTATTATTATTATTATTATTATTATTTTGATAATGATTATTATTGTTTTTATATTATTGTTGTTTTATATTATGATTATTATGATGATGATTATGATGATTATGATTATTATTCAGTTATATCGACATATTCAAAATGATGAACGTTAACCATCTGTTATTCCATTCTAAAGATAACTTGTCAGTCAAAGAACGCAATTTCTAACTATACCTTTGTTAAACAAAATGGAGACTTTGTCGTTAGATTGAGTTAGATTGCAGTCCAAGAAAAGTAACTAATTATACGTTACTTTGAAATAATTAAGACAATGTTCGTTTGGGAATAAAACAGTTTGGTTGTGCCTTTTATGTCTTGTTATGTATTTAATCATACGTGAAAGTTGTTGATCTATCAGTAAGCATAAAACATTCTCTTATCGTACAACTCTCATTTCTACGATTACTAAAAGAAGTTACAGCTTTCAAATTTTAGTTTTTTTATGCACATATCCTATCAGTCTTTTTGTACGGAAAGAGAAGGTTTAAACTTTATGCAAAATGTCTTTTTATAAAATATCTTAGGTATCCGTTACCTAACGCCAGACTATACTCATTATGTCATTCGACCCGTGAAGATCCGGGGTAGAATAAATAGGTCTTCAGCAACCCATGCTTGCCGTAAAAGGCGACTATACTTGTCGTAAGAGGCTATTAATGGGATCGGGTGGTCAGGCTCGCTGACTTGGTTGATGCATGCCATTGATCCGAATTGCGTGGATTGATGCTCATGACATCAATCACGGGATTGTCTGGTCCAGACTCGATTGTCATATAGCTGAAATATAGCTGAGTGCGGCGTTAAACCACAAACAAAAATTTCACGCTTACTAGCGTATGTCCATGTTTGTGAGTGAGTGAGTATGGTTTTACGCCGCTTTTAGCAATATTCCAGCCATATCACGGCGGGGGACACCAGAAATGGGCCTCACACATTCTACCCATGTTGGGAATCGAACCCGGGTCTTCGGCGTGACAAGCGAACGCTTTAACCACTAGGCAACCCGACCGCCCCTCCACTGCGTGAATGCCCCATTAGGGGAATATGATATGCATAATGACAATCGGTCATATTAGAATAATCATAAAGTTGATTAAAATGTAAATAAGCATATCAGTAATGACTGTTAACTGTAATGACTGCATGATATATTCATACAAATCACAATCGAAACCAACATCATAATTTGTGTTTTCTTCACATGAAGGCTTTAATAAACTATCTAATACACACACAGATGTTCACATATGTATTTGCTACATTTATGTTTACATGAAACCATAAATGTAAACCAATTTCAATGTTGGCTCTTTTTGAGAAGACGGGTATTTCAAAACAATGATATATATAGCCCTAACAGCGATATAGACACCAACAGTTTTAGTGAGTGAGTGAGTGAGTTGGGTTTAACGCCGCTTTTAACAGTAACAACAAACAGACAAACAAACAAAATGTTTGTGTTCAAACTAGTATGTAACCAAATGTGTACCATCAACTTGGGAAAGGGCCTCCCTACATAAACAAGCATACAAACTCCTATTGCCGCCATTACCATATACATAACACGGGATGTGGAGTAAAGCAATGTGCATGTAAAGGGAAGTAACTGTGTGCTATATTGGATTGAATTTTCTGAAAGTATTAGGATTTTTTATATATTTTTAAAAATGGAAATAGAAACAAAATGAGTGGCAGACTTTATGATGATGTGAGTGATGCCTGAGAGAGGGAGAAGGAGAGAAAGAGAGATGGGTTAAACGCCGCTTTTGTTCTAGTTATATCACGGCGTGTCAGCTTAATGTGGGAGGAAAACCCGAAGTGATGCAGGTCTGAGACGTTTACCACTTCGGTGAAACCCACGAGCACGGGTATGGTGCTGACAAACATTGAAACATAATCGGGGCGAATCGGGATTCGAACCCACAATCATAGGTTTCTGGCGTGCCCAAGGGACGCAACTCTGCACAGCGAATCGCGGCGCCTGAGACGACTGGGCCACCCATGCCCCCACTAACAGTTTTAGTCCACTGGTCCTTATAATGATAACATAAAGCAAAATCCTTAAAAATGGCAAATTTCCACTAGTCCTTAGTGATGCCTTAACTATTGGGCAGTTTGTCAAGGCCTATAAGACTTAAGTACTGTCGGAAATGCTAGAAAACTGCTTTTTGCCTGTTAAAAGGGATATTATTTTTCACAGAAATTATTGAAATATTGAGTAACTACCGATCGTCCTACCTGTGGTTTGAAGTATTTCAGTCACAGGGAGTGCTATCGACAAGTTTACAGGAGACAATTTCGAACGAAAACAGGAAGTTCACATTTATTCCAAGTCCAATGATGACAGTCTTAAAAGGACTGTAGAAATATGCGCACGTGACTCCGTTATAATGATAATAATGTAGTCTTCATAAAACATCTAATCCACACACAAAAATCACAAATCACTTTTCAGATAATCCTGCATCGATTCATGGATCTATGACTTCACATGTGATGCGTTCGTGAGCATCAGTTCACACAGAATACAAGAATAAAGTCACTCTGTGGCTGATTGTTGGTTTTATCATTAATTGATACACATTGGACACATTATTTCTTAACGTACACACTTCTCTATATGTTTTTATGGTTCGCGGTGAGTAGGTACTGACTCCGAGCCTCAATCTTCACTTTTTTAACAGCACATGGGCGGTCGGGTATCCTAGTGGTTATTCAAAAGCGTTCGCTCGTCACGCCGAAGACCCGGGTTCGATTCCCGACATGGTTACAATGTGTGAAGTCCATTTCTGGTGTCCCCCGAATCGATGTTGCTGGCATATAGCTAGCAACGGTGTAAAACCATACCCACTCACTCTAACAGCACATATCTGAAAACAAATGCGAAATTGAATGGTACAATTACACATTCATAACAATGCAAATGTCCATTAACAGGAAATATTTCTTAACTATTTTAAGTATTATCAGTTGTATACGGTCATACGAAATGCACCAAAGAAATTTAGGTTTTACCTATTTCATATCATCGTAAAAGATTAATCTTTAAAGCTTGACAGACTAACTTATTTTTCAGATTTATTTCTATTTAATTGTGGAGTGTTTCATATAGCCTATACTTTGTTTTATAAACCGTGTCTTTAGATTTTACCAAACTGAATGTTATATATTTCATATCATTTTCGTATTACTCAGAATGCCGGTGTTCGTTATTTCCTAATTCATACTTTAGATACCGGAAGCGGAAGTGTCGGAGCGCGGCATGAACGAAAGTAAACGCAAGTTCTTGTGAAAACGTGCTGATAGTTTTTCACAATGTCACAAACACCGAAACCAATGCAGGTAGTTCTTTCTGGGCGTGTGTATTGTTGGTCGCATTGCTTTCCTCCAAACATCAAACTGCTTATTTGCTTAAATGACGACTAGTATACGACATTGTGTCAAATATTCACGCTGTGGTTTGGCTAGGCTATCGTTTATTTTCCACCCAGTAGCCTGCAACCTCGGGGTATCGCGTTGCTTGTCATGTACGGAACAAAATGCACTCACTAACCTTTATGTTTATTGGTGTTCTCTGTATCAGATATGATTCATGTTATCTAACAATGCATATTTTACTGATAAAAGTTCATTATTTACATTAGTCATGTTAGTAGCTCCGAGTAAAAGCCGGGCCTCGCGCTCCGTTTGACAAAGGAGAAATCCATCGTATCGCGGTACAGAGAAAAGTTGTGTATGGAGGTCCGAATTAGACAAAAAGAGGACATAATTCTACCAACCACTTGGTATGATCATGCCAGACATCAGTGATTTGTCCAGACAAGTGCAAAGACAGCACAAGTAAAATTCTAAATGTGTTATCAGCAATAGGTATTCAATGCATATTTACCGAAAAGTAAGAGAAAAATGATATTTTAAGATTGTTTAAAAAAAATTGGATGACCATGATGACAATAATTTGTCACAAAATGGAAATTTTTTAAAAGTCAACAATAAATATATAAAAAGCACCCCTAGTATGCCCAAAGTATGTATTTATCTTTTGGTTACTAGTGAAGAACGTATTTCTAAGTTTGGCATTATGGCCCTTATGATCTCCCAATAGATTCTGGACACAGAGCGGGAAAAAATGTGCGGACTACGTAACTTCCGTTACCTCATTAGTCGCAATGAATATGCAGATGATCTAGTTCAGGTCTCTAGAGAAAGTTTACTTGGGGAACTGCGGGTTATATCGTTGGCCATTGATAGATGGGGGTAAGGCAATATTACAACAGATGCCAGAAATATGTATCAACGGATTAAAATCCTTACTTACAGCAGACGGAACTATTCCAAGGAAATTGAAATTGTTTACGAAGTGAGCACTTCCTGGTTACTGATTTGCATTAATAGACAGCCGCTAAGAGGCGTGTCCCACGTGAACTATCGGAAATCACAAATGCCGCGATACGATGAATGCCGCGGTACCATGGGGTCTGAGTATATAATGAAAGAAGAAAAATACTGGATTTGTTGAAATATATGTTATTTCGACTTGGGTGGTAAATAAACAGAAAATATGATTTTGAACAGTACGAACCATCACCCGTTTCACGAAGCCGAGACACGAAATGGCTCCGACAGTCAAGACATGACTGTCCATCATCACGATAACACCACTTTCATAAATCCTATTCAGACTGTGGTGGCAGATTACCCTTCGTATTTACCTGAGCTTTCTAAAAATATTTTTCCTGTTGGCTTTTGACTGAATAGTTGATATCACCATACTCCCTGATTATCTCTATCTGTAAGAGGCGACTAACGAGATCGGGTGGTCAGGCTCGCTGACTTGGTTGATGCATGTCATTGATCCCAATTGCATGGATTGATGCTCATGATGTAAATCACTAGATTATCTTGTTCAGACTCGATTATTCACAGACTGCCGTCATATAGCTGGAATATTGCTGAATGCGACGTTTAACAACAAAACAAACATAAAATTTCCTATCTACACACACTTCTCAAATTTTTATTGAAACAACATGAGCTGATAGGTTAGCTGTTCACGTAATAATATAGGTAATCACATGGTGTGCACCTGGTTAGATTTCTATAGTCTGTTTCTGCTTGGGTTTTCCACTAGCTGTAAGCCTGTATGATGTGTTGGTACTCTCTGCCACTACTGACATCGAGGGGCGATCGGGTGGCTTGGTGGTTAAAGCGTTCGCTCGTCAAGCCGAATACCTGGGTTCTATTCCCGACATGGGTAGAATGTGTGAAGCCCATTTCTGGTGTTCCCCGCCGTGATATTGCTGGAATATTGCTAAAAGCGGTGTACAACCACACTCACTCACTCACTCATTTGTGTTTGCAGCAGGGCGACAGGGACAAAGAAAAGAAGAAGAAAGAGAGCATCCTTGATCTATCCAAATACCTGGACAAAACCATCCGAGTCAAGTTCAGCGGCGGGCGAGAGGGTAATACAAGTTATTTTGCTGTTCCAGTTGATAGAAATTCTTTCTCCTCGAAAACATTCTATTATAGGAAAAAGAAATTAAAATGTCTACTGACCCTAAATGTAATAAGATGTCTTCTTTTCAAGCCCTGCTGCTGTTGATGAATAAAAATATTTGCTGTATTTACAGTGTAATTGTATTGTTTGTTTTCAGCTGCAGGGGTGCTGAAGGGGTTCGACCCACTCCTGAATCTTGTACTGGATGGCACGACAGAGTATCTTCGAGGTAACAGACTTGTAGTACTACAGTCATAGTGCATGAGTTGAGTTTCGTGACACGTTGGACAGTATGTCAGTTCTATTTGTTCAGCCATTTCTACTCTAAAATACTAACCTCGTCGGGTGGTCAGACTCCCTGACTTGGTTGATGCATTTCATCGTATCTCAATTGTGTGGATCGATGCTCACAATGTCTATTGGGGCGGTCGGGTAGCCTAGCGGTTAAAGCGTTCACTCGTCACGATGAAGACCCAGGTTCGATTCCCGACATGGGTACAATGTGTGAAGCCAATTTCTGGTGTTCCCCGCTGTGATATTGCTGGAATATTGCTAAAAGCATCATAAAATCATACTCAGTCACTCACTCATGATGTCTATCACCATGGTCACTGGATAGTCTGGTCCTTCTGGCTGAAATATTGCTGAGTACAGTGTTAAACAATAAACAAACTAAGAATGTCTGCAAGTTCCGGCTACTACAGGGTTTGCACAGCTGTGAATGTAACCATGTCCGATGGAAAGTAATTGATTCTACCATTTTACCTTCTAATCTAGAATCTTAATGACAATCCTTGTAAAGGAATGTAAATAAAATCAGTCTAGTTATAACAAAATCGCTACTGAAAACTATTATCGATCAAATTTTCACTTACAACTTAAAAAGAACTGTCCTCTGTTTATTATGGCTTACATGTGTTTATTCCTTTGCGCATTGTTTTTCTGAATATAGTTTAATCAGTTTTATACACAGCCAATCACCCTTAGTGAAATCAAAACGAGGTTATGAATGTCAGATCATTCCTTGACAGAAGCAGGGCCTAAAGTTTGCTTCAAATTGTGTTTAAATCATGGGGAAGTGTGTTTTAATCGCTCTTGGGTTTCAAAATACAAGTGGGTACATGAAACAAAAGACAGAAACTGTGTTACCATGGTTACTGCAGGAAGGATTGATATTGGTAGATAGTGGGCACCTTAAATAAAAACATGAAAAGATTTGGAAAATATCTGTTGATGCTGCCAATCCTGCATTCGACTGAAATCTGCATGGCAGTTTATGAACCGGATGTCAATTTCATTACGCGATTTGGATTGGTCTATGCCTAGACTCATTAGTCCAGCTAAAAGATAACTTTATAATACAGGGATGTGAAATCTCCACGGAAACGCGGTAAATCGCGTTTTTTAAAACAGTAGTCCTCGGAAAAAATCATCTTCCGCGGAAAAAGATTATTAAAAATTAAAAAAAAAACACTCCGAAAAATATGATCGAAAACCGGACAATTGGCGCGGATTATCCTGTTTCCGATCGGAGCTTTCACAGCATAGGTTTTCGGACATCATACGTTTTCTGTCACGAATACTTGCACTATAACGTGGGGCGTGGCGTCACACAGAAATTGTAAATACTCAGAGTCAGCTGATGGCTTGTTTTTAAGATAAAGTTGTCTTTTGGCCTGTAAGTGAATGAGATGTTTTACAGTTGTTCATGTGATTAGCGAGAAATTTATGAATGTTTCTTCAGCGTCCAAAACCCCATGTCATGGGGATATATATTGTATTAATGTCTTATGTTTGCAATGGAGTTTTGTTTTTTTCATCAAAAGGTAAGTACAAGGTAAGTTTTTTTCAATATGCTTCAACATGGGGAAAGGGTCAGACATTGCACGCTTGTGACAGTTGTCCTTGTGTCTGGGGGATGGGGGTTGAAGTTTATGGCAGTATTGCTCCAGGACCTGGCGGGTAGCCAGGTGCGCGAAAGCTATGCCCGTTTTTTTTAAAGTACTGATTTAACTTCGAAATTTTACTGCATCTGCCATCTTGTTTATTTTACTTATTGACTTTTGCCATTGACTTATTACATTTCTTGGTGTGAATGTTGTCCAAACTGCATGAAATTGCTTAAAATGCAATCAAATGTTTTAAAAATTTCTGGGGGGGCATCTTAGAGGCCAGTGTCAGTCAGAATGTCAAAATTGGAACCAAACATTTCCTAATTCATGTCATGTATAGCCAGGGATCTGTTGTTTTTTTTGCCGGGGCGGTCGGGTAGCCTAGTGGTTAAAGCGTTCGCTCATCACGCCGAGGACGCATGTTTGATTCCCGACATGGGTACAATGTGTGAAGCCCATTTCTGGTGTCCCCCGCCGTGATATTGCTAGAATACTGCTAAAAGCAGCGTAAAACCGCACTCACTCACTCATTGTTGCTTTTGCCAATCGGACATTTGTATTTCGGCCACGCCCACCTCATATTTGACAGCTTCAGTTGGACGTTCATGTATGAATAAAATAGGATAAGAATGAAATCAAGGGTCACTTTCATAACATATACCATATTTTCGTGAGTATACTGCACATTTTTTTCTATAAAACACCACAATGAGTCTTAATGTTTATTCCCCAACGCAAACTTATGACACTATCATGATCATGTCAAATGGAAATACCATGTCAACAAATCCATACTTAATTATGCAACATGCTGTTATTACACTATCTGGTTATAAAAAGTGTTCATTGTAAATACAGACTTGTTTGTAATCTATTTCAATTAATTTATTCAAATTTCAATCAATATTGTTAACAAACCATTCGTCAAAATTGTGTTTGAAGTGATCGGAAGATCGCACAACTCACCGTTATTTACAGCAACCATGGTCAGATTACCTATACCATGTATACTGAGTCCTTAAAATGAACAGAGAATGGATACATTTATCATAGATGCCAGACTTTAACTCATTAAAAGTCATAATTGTTGTAGTTTGACTATTATATATGCCAACATAACGTTTTCGCAATGTAGGAAGTCTCCCCAGGCACAGGTCAAATTGTTCCATGCGTACGAAATATCTGGCGAAAGCGATTAGCTGTTCCACAGTGCGACTCTTGGTGTGAAGTCATTGAAAATTCCTGCTGTCTAATGTTGTTACCCTGTCTGGCGCTCGGCATTAAGGGGATAACACAAGGACTGGTCGGCTCGGAGTCAGTATACTGTGTCTGTGTGGGGTATTCATGTTAAACTGAGGCATGGTATCACAGAGGGCTAGCACTATAAATTGGCATCAGTCCGGTCTAGTACAAGCAGCCACACAAACACACACGTGCATGCACGTCGCTATATAAGTGCAATAATCTTGGACGCGACGTTAAACCCAATTTCACCTCACCTCACCAGGGCCCACTTGCACAAAGCGATCTTAGTGCTATGATGATCTTAACTCCCATACTTTAACATAGGCTTACAATAGTCTTAGCGCTAAGATCGTTTTGTGCAAGTGGGCCCTGCTGTCTAAAAAATGGTTGACATTTCTTATTCCTACATTTCACAGATCCGGACGATCCATTCAAGCTGACGGAAGACACCCGCCACCTGGGGCTGGTCGTGTGTCGAGGGACGTCCGTGGTGTTGATATGTCCGTCAGAGGGAATGGAGGCCATTGCTAACCCTTTCGTTCAGCAAGATAGCTGAGTGTGGACCTCCCACTGGACTATAGTATACTGGTGCATTGTGGCAGGGAATCAATTGCAGGATGTTTTATACTTTTCATTGGAAATGTGGGTTACCATGGTAACAGATATTGTTTAAAGATTCTGAAAGGAGGGACAGGCTCGGCCATGATGAAGCATATCATGGAGACAGATTAACTACAGTTGCTCCTCAAGCATTGAATGATGGAAAGCTCTGCTGACGGGCTGCTTTTCCTTTAGAAGCTGAACTGTTTAAGAAAATTGTTATGGGAGTGGTGCACTTCACAGGGCGCACTTTTTTGGCTTTCAATTAGCGTTGCGTGGAGGATCGACTTTTGTGAACTGTACGGCTGTAAAGACTGCAGATGGCGATTAGTGACTTTGCCACTAGTTCAAAGCTTGTCTCTAGTAAATAATGTTTGGTTTAATAAGTTATCCTTGTTATTGTCCAATACACTAAAATCTGCTATGAATGTGCTTCTTGAGCTTCTGGGCTCAATTTATTGCCATAGACTGGATGATATGCATCTTGATAGAAAGGTCGTCATTCCGAACACAATCTGGTAGCCCCTAACACTTTCCATATAAGGAGGTCATGAGACCTAACCGAAGTGTATCCTACTGTTGTACTAGTGTACAGTGATAAATCGTTACCTATTGAGCAGTTTCTGAGAAGCTAGTATTTCTAAAACTAACAGGGGCGGTCGGGTAGCCCAGTGGTTAAAGCGTTCGCTAGTCATGCCGAAGACCCGGGTTTGATTCCTGACATGGGTACAATGTGTGAAGCCCATTTCTGGTGTCCCCTGCCGAGATATTGCTGGAATATTGCTAAAAGCGGCGTACAACCATACTCACTCACTAAAACCCAAAACTTCCTTAATTAGTTTCTGATTTTGTTTGATATGTTTGACTCGCAAAAATCATGAAAGCAGGCAGACTGAAAAAATCCATTATGATTTTCTCCATATATATGACGGTGGCCCAGTCGTCTAAGGCGCCGCGATTCGCTGTGCAGAGTCGCGTCCCTTGGGCACGCCAGAAACCTATGATTGTGGGTTCGAATCCCGGTTCGCCCCGATTATGTTTCTAGGTTTGTCAGCACCATACCCGTGCTCGTGGGTTTCACCGAAGTGGTAAACGTCTGAGACCTGCATCACTTCGGGCTTTCCTCCCACATTAAGCTGACACGCCGTGATATAACTGGAATACTGTTAAAAGCGGCGTTAAACCCAACTCACTCACTCACCCATATATATGACATACAATGCAGGTTGCGCTCAGGGAATGGGAGGGGTGGTGGGGTAGCCTAGTGAAGCGTTCGCTAGACACACCGAAGACCCGGGTTCAATTCCCCACATGGGTACAATGTGTGAAGCCCATTTCTGGTTTCCCCAGCCATGATGTTGCTTGAATATTACTAAAAGAGGTGTAAAACCATACTCACTCTCTCATGGAAATGGGTTATGCTTGAATTGGGGAGGGGGGCTAACAGTATGTACAGGATTTATTTCCTTGTAACCATTTCAACTATTTAGTTAGGAATCTGTGAAGAAGTAAGAAACATGATTGTGTTGGCGAGGACAGAGATAATCATATTGTCCTGTAACTCGGACAGTCGACATTGTTAATATGTTGTTTTGTTATTGATGACTTCATTTCTAGGAGACCTTGTCATGTTAGGCCTGGAGGTTTGGTGTTAAAGTAACCCGTTGACCTTGAAAAACAGATGAGAATCATATTTCTTCAGTAAATATTAATATTGTTTTCAAACTATTTTCTTCGAATGATTTTGCTTGTGTGCAGCTGAAACCTGTAAATATAAAAGTCTAACTTTATTTTATTTGATATGAAAATGTTCAAGTGAATTAACATTTTTTTATTTTTCAAAACGGATATCGCAGACCGTTGTGATGTCATTGGTTACTATGCCTTAATAAAATAACATCACTTGTCTCTCCACATGGGTACAATGTGTGAAGCCCATTTCTTGTGTGCCCCGCTGGATATTGCTGGAATATTGCTAAAAGTGGCATAAAACCATACTCTCACTCGCTCACTAATCTCTCTGCCACTGGGGGCGGTCGGGTAGCCTAAGACCCGGGTTCGATTCCCGACATGGGTACAATGTGTGAAGCCCATTTCTGGTGTGCCCCTGCCGTGATATTGCTGGAATGTTGCTAAATGCGGCATAAAACCATACTCTCACTGGCTCACTAATCACTCTGCCACTGAAGCTGGTTAGCTGTACTTGTTACTCTCAAGACACTGGTTATTACTGTTTACAAACTGAAAAGGTAATAATGATTTTGAATGGTAAATAGAACCTCATCCCCGTGTGTTTGGGCATCAAATGAATCAACACTTGTCTGTAAAGTTCAGGATTCATCAGCAAGACTTGGTATTTAAACTTTTATCGACTCGTGTTAATATCTTTGTTATCAAAAGACACTTAGGTGAGATTCTCTATGGCTTGCACCGACAGAGGTGTTTGGTGAGCGCAAGTAGGTTACATTTGATACAGGCATTGAAAGTAGGGGTCTTTTGTGCCCCGTCCATATACCATGTAATGTTCAATAAACCATCTTCACTTTGGCATCTTTGTCATCTTGCTCAACTTGACAACCCATGGACTTCCTTTAATCGCGTGGGGGTCTAGTCGTATAAGTTGCCGCAATCCGCTGTGCAGAGTTGCGTCCCTTGGGCACGCCAGAAACCTATGATTGTGGGTTATAATCCCGATTCGCCCCGATTATGTTTCTAGGTTTGTCAGCACCATACCCGTGCTCGTGGGTTTCACCGAAGTGGTAAACGTCTCAGACCTGCATCACTTCGGGTTTTCCTCCCACATTAAGCTGACACGCCGTGATATAACTAGAACAAAAGCGGCGTTTAACCCATCTCTCTTTCTCTCCTTCTCCCTCTCTCAGGCATCACTCACATCATCATAAAGTCTGCCACTCATTTTGTTTCTATTTCCATTTTATAAATATATAAAAAATCCTAATACTTTCAAAAAATTCAATCCAATATAGCACAGTTACTTCCCTTTACATGCACATTGCTTTACTCCACATCCCGTGTTATGTATTTGGTAATGGCGGCAATAGGAGTTTGTATGCTTGTTTATGTAGGGAGGCCCTTTCCCATGTTGATGGTACACAACTGTTTATTTGGTTACATACTAGTTTGAACACAAACATTTTGTTTGTTTGTCTGTTTGTTGTTTAACGCCGCACTCAGCAATATTCCAGCTACATGACGGCGGTCTGTAAATAATCGAGTCTGGACCAGACAATCCAATGATTAATATCATGAGCATCGATCCACGCAATTGGGATCGATGACATGCATCAACCAAGTCAGTGAGCCTGACCACCTTCATGTGGCTTGAAGTGTTGGTTATAGAGTGACGTGAATGGGTATCTGCTTGTACTAATCCGGACTTAAGCCAGTTTTAGAGTGTTTTGTTAGTTTGTTGTTGAACGACGAACTCGGCAATATTCAAGCTATATGATGGTGGTTTGTAAATAATCAAGTCTGGACCAGACAATCCAGTGATGCACATCGATCCACGCAATTCAGGTACGATGACGTGCATCAACCAAGTCAGCGAGTTTGACCACCCGATCCTGTTAGTCGGCAAGCATGGGTTGCTGAAGACCTATTCTACCCCGGATCTTCACGATACTATGCCGTAGTTTTAACATGAGTACCCCACTCAGACACAGAAAACTGACTCCCAGCCAACCACTCCTTGTTCTAGCCTCTTAATGCCAAGGGGCGGTCGGGTAGCCAAGTGGTTAAAGCATTCGCTCATCACGCTGAAGACCCGGGTTCCAATCCCAACATGGGTACAATGTGTGAAGCCCATTTCTAGTGTCCCCTGCCATGATATTGCTGGAATATTGCTAAAAGCGGCGTAAAACCACACTCACTCACTCACTCTTAATGTCGAGCGCCAGACAGGGTAACAACAAATACCATCTTTTAACGTCTTTTGGTATGACACTGCAACCTTCCACTCCCTGGGCAAATGCTCTATCCACTTCACCCAAGGCGGCCTTTGTTGGTTTAAAGTTGCCCCTACACTTGAAAGAGGTCACATGAATTCACAATTGTATTCTGGTTCAACCTTAAAGATAGAGACAATCCCTTGACAAAAACAACAAAAGACGAATCATTTTCTAGTGGTTTATTGCCTCACTGATTGGCTAATCAATGTTCGTGTGGGTTCTCATTGGCTGACAAGTTATACTACATATCACAAAGACCACCATTTGTCATAGCGTCATCTCTAACATGGCATCTACATCCAAATTTATTATTCTAGTTACCAAGTCACTTGGAGCCTCGGCTCCCAGTCTCTATAAGCTCTGACGCTAGCAAAAGACATGGCTACACATGGATTGAAATATTCACAGATATTAAGTAGACACTTGCATCATAAAATGATCAGGTTTTTGCAATAAATAGCACACTCTCATACATAAAAGCTGACCTTGAACCAAATATGTACAACCAAACAAAACATTCTTCTTGCATTCAATCCTTAAAAGTGTGGAATACATGACATCCTTATTCAATTTTTACATCATTACTATTCAAGGTCAAGGATGTCTGATGCACAAGATACTACTAGATTGACAACTACTTTCATTTCAATATTCTACTTTCCTTTCAACTACTTATATCAACAATAGTCATATTCAAAAGTTTATGGTGAAATTTACGAAAATTGTGATTCTATTGATAAACTGTGTGTGATGATATAAAAATTATTTCAATCGCATAATTGTGATTAAAAAAGTTGGTCTAACCCTGGGACTGACATTCAACATCAAAGTCTGACATCTCTAAATACTGGAGTCATTATGAAGCTAATGAAATGACTAATTAATCAATTATTGTTTTTTCTATTTGATTCAGAATACTTAAAAAGGAAAACAAAAGAGGTTATTTGTCAGAGTGCAAGACTGCACTATGGGAATATACATAATTGTGTTCTATTTATTCTGTTCATGTTGGCATGTTAAGTCATGTCCAACAAACATTCATTCTAATCCCAGGAATGATAATGTGTTTCACAAAACATACTATTCTACTCAACATTTAATATAGGGGTATGATTTACCAAATTGTCACCTCATAAGGTGGATGGCCTCAACATCTTATAGGGGTATAATTCACAAAATAGATACCCTTAAGGTGCATTGCCTGAACTCAATATTTGATGGGGGTATGATTAACCAAATTGATACCTCAAAGGTGGATGGCCTCAACATTTGATAGGGGTATAATTCACCTAATTGATACCTTGTACGGTGGATGGCCTCAACTTGACATTTGATGGGGGTATAATTGGCTAAATTCAGTGAGAATCAGGAAGAGGCATCAACTCAACATTTGAAGTGTTCCAGAAACGCTTCTATGTCCCCAGCCTACTTATCAAACATGAGTAGTATACTGATATATTGCCTACATACACCCATAACATCAATATCACAAAGACTATGTCCTAATTTGTCCTGTGCTCTTGTGTGTACCTTGTTTGTGATGGGTGGCATGAATAGTGGTATGGAAAATAGTTTTACATGTTCTAACATGGCTTACAATAGTGAAGAGTGTGTTCTACAAGCGATCATGTTACTGAGGCTACTTGAAGTCAATGCGGCTCGAGTTTAAGCAATATTCCAGACATTTGACAGGACTCAAACGATGGGCCTGACACTATTCAAGTGGGGATTCGAACCCAGGCCTGCAGTTTTATAAGTAAACTATTCAACCATTGGGATACCAAGAAGTACTGAAATAAGGAGTCCTAGTGCTAAGATGGTGTGGTGCAGCTCTATGTGTTAATGAATGTGAGTATAGTTTTATGCTGCTTTTAGTGGGAGTGAGTATGGTCTTACGCCGCTTGTAGCAATATTCAAGCAATATCACGGCGGGGGACACCAGAAATGGGCTTCACACATTGTACCCATGTCAGGAATCGAACCTGGGTCTTTGCGTAACGAGTGAACGCTTTAACTACAAGGCTACCCCAACGCCCCTGCTGCTTTTAGCAATATTTCAGCAACATCACAGCAGGGGACACAGGAAAATGGTTTACACATTGTACCTATGTGGGGAATCAAACCTGGGTCTTTGGCGTGATGAGCCAACGCTTTAACCACTAGGCTACCCCACCGCCCCTCCAGATATCAGAACATTCAAGATAATCAGAACACGGTTAATAACTTGGGAGAGAACAAGATGGCTATGTCTCATGCAGAAACACAGCATACATAATGGAATGCATGATTGTGAACATTGCCTTTGGGAGCACCAGCTTCATATAATGATTTTGTGTTACGCGCTTTTAATATTCTAGCCAATCAAGACATGAGTGAGTATGATTTTACACCACTTTTAGTAATATTCCAGCCATTTCACGGCCGTGGGTCCCTTTAAAGAGTTTCAGAAATTGTACCTATGTTTTCTTGATGAGCATTGTGTGGCTGACTTGTCCAGACACAGAAACGTAACAGTTGATTTTGTTAATCACTGCATTTTTGATTCTTTTAAATTTCACAAAATTGCTTTGAACATTTTTTTTTGTCGTAGTAATATAAAGAGCTTGGCCTAATGCTAAAGTACAAGTTTCAAGGTGTGATTAATATCCCTTCTCAGAAGCTAGTCTTAGAACTAACCTTGGTTTCATGACAATGGTTTTATAAAGATGGTTTCACAACCAAATGGACATTGGAATAGGGTGTAAAAGTAGGTTATATGTAAATATAGGACTCATTTGAAATGAAATAATAAGACTTCATGAAAAATAAGAAAACAAGTATACAAAATAATGTATTTTGATTCCAAGGTGGTAACATGTGGAACTGGTTACCATGGTTACAAGGTCTTGGACGCACAGCATGCCATACTGGCTGGATGAAAGATACCCCAAAACACCATTGTAGGTATTTGTTTAAAAGATTCTTGCTGTGGTTTTGAGAACCTGAATTATTATTAATAAAGTTATTAATGACTTTATCTTTTAAAAAACATTATTCATTAAAAAAAATAATCAGCTGTGATGGAATGTCACTGGGACCAGAGGACATTAAAGCTTTGATCGGAATTAAATACACAATTTCAAAAGAATAATTTTGAATGTGGTATCTGATCACATTTGTAAAGGAATGTTTGAGGAATTAACAGTGATAATAAGATGAGAATATGGGAGAAGATGTGATATTCTGATACTTTACAAAGAACAAACGAGGATACAGGGCGCTGTTCCACAAAACGATCTCATGAGTATGAATGTCATAAGTTTATGTTAAAGTATGGGAGTTAAGATCACTTTGGGGAATGGGATCCAATATTAAACACCCAATAGTAAATAAACTAATCATTCAATATTTCCAAGGTGAGACTAGAAAGTTCTTTTCAGTAAATGATATTTTTCTCCGTATATTTTACATAAAATTACATTTTCCCAAAACATTAATTTAGTATAAAGATGGTTATTTGTGTTGTTAGTAGGTATTTTTATCTTAGTTTTCCCAGATAATTGTTGTCTGTGATAGAGTAACATCGATACATGTGTCTTGGGAACATGTGACAATAAATGTTTTATAGTGAGTTATCTCCCTTCTTTGGTCAATGAAAAGTGTACCAATATAGCATGTATATATATATATCATATTCGATGTATCAATATTTTGTAATTACAATGTGTGTCTACATTTCATCCCTCACTAGTATACAGAATTAGAAATAATTCAGCAAGTTTGTCATAATTAAGCCAGACCAATTGTCTTTCTTGGTTCTACAATTGTTTTTGAAAAAAACAAAAAGACATTATATTCTTTTACCGTATTCGGCGTAATAAGCACCCGGAGGGCTCTCAAAATTAGAAATAAGGTGAGAAAAATGATACAAAAGAAAAGTATGTGCGTATCATACGCAACAGATACATTTTCCAGAAATTATTTCTCATAATTGAGGGTGCAAATAACACACAAGTGCACATTATACCCGAATAAATAAGTCTTGTGAACATTGATCAATCGGAAGGGGTGCTAACTGGGATTGTTCACTAGCCAATATATTAGCAAATACCGCCGTGGGCGCTTATTACGTCGAATATAGTAATTCTTTTTCACTTTTTCATAAATGTCTTTTTCATAAGGATCTATTGAGCACAGAATTTACATTTTTACTTTGTTTTATATTTCGATTGTTGACTATTTAAAAAAAATAGTTTTGGGGTAGGGGATAGATTTTGGTCTGGCCTAAAAATCATAATAAATACATGACCAGATACATATTTTTGACATTTCCTTGAGACAGTCAAACAAGCAACATTGTGACTTAGCATTAATTTGTTGGTTAACCTTAAGAACAATCTCTTCCCAGATACAATCACAGTCTATGATTCCCGATCTGTGTGTCATTTCAACTATGAATACCGCATAAAACAGTTTGCACATGAGCTGTACAAACAGGAATCTTACACATTAACATACATGTGTAATAAATAACCAACAACTATCAACAATCAGAAATGTACAACCAATGAACACACAGCACTGCGGTGACAGTTGGGACATACAAAATATACACCATGGTATGTCAATTTCAACTGACAGGCGTCAAGGTTTAAAAGTCTGTTATGTGAATAGAGATCTCTTGTAAATTACTGATTCTCATAATTTTTTGGAAATTGTGGAAAAACATAATTCAGTGATTAATCAAAGTGTTATACCACTCAACTTTTGATGGAGATATTTTTTCTTTCCATCATACACATCTGATTATCCCTTTCAGAAGTTGAGCAGTATATAAAAGGTCCATGGGTATTGATAAGGGCTATGAAAAGGGACCCTAAATTTAAAAAAATAAAATTTCAATGAAATTATTTTCCAACTTTGTCAGGATCGAAATTGTGTGTTCTCAGCGAGGTTTCCTTGTGCAAAAAAGACTAAATACCTTTTTGAATATGATGTTTTGTAAGAAACATAACTTGCGGTGGTATGGTAGATTTCAGTCATGATTCAAAAGTCAACAACAATAAATTTGACGTATACACAATTCTAGCAGTTCCAATGATCCTGCAGTTCCAACACCGACTTGTTGTCGATACAGCATATATACACTACAGTGACACACGAATGGTTACCATGGTTACAGGGGATACGATACACAGGATACGACTACATTAACCCTTTAAGTATCACCATCGAGTCGTGAGCATCATAAAGAGGGAGGAAGGATAGCACACTGACAGAATGGTTTCTTTTATCATTTCGGCAGTCAGTTTTCTTTGAAATATAAGGAATTGTTATTCATCATAATCATGCTGTTTGTTCAATATTTGAGTCTGAATCTGACAAACCACTGGTTGACATCATGAGCATCGTCCCATGTTTGTCGGGGTACAATGACATGCAACCAACAAAGCCATCAATTCTGACTGCCCTTTTCAGTTTCGTAAAATCTTAAGGTATCCACATTGTAATAAAGTGCCGTGGAAGTATTCTAACCCAGGTCCCAACATTGACCACATTCATGAAGGGATTCAAACTCGGTCTTTGGTAGGACAAACAAACACATGTACCGCTGGGCTACCACAAACTTTTCTATACAAAAATTCCCTCCCTTTGGCATGTGCACTGTGTTTACCAAGAGATAATGTTTAAAATTTTCGCATTAAAGCCAATTTGCCCAAAATAGAAACAGTTTTAACTTCCTTAAAATCATCATTTTCATATTAATTATCATCATTCATTCATCTTGCTGATTCATTAACGGGTTAATGCACAACGAACATGTATGATATGATTATCAACTGAAAGAATCATTGAATCAAAGAACCAGTGCTATAATCTCAAATATAACAATTGTATATACGATATAATTTATACATGTTCTAGCAGTTTAATATGAGATAGATCGTTGACAAAGCTTAACTGTTGATCTATTGCACAATAATTTGTCTGACACCAGCATGACTTGTTTGCACATTGAACTCATTAATATTTGAGACTTCACTGATCAAATCTGTGTGTGTAGGTACATACTGCACAAAGCTAAACATGCAATATCTCCGACACAGCCAATAAAGACTTTTACCAGTTTTAACATTTACTAAACATCCACAGTAACTGAAACAGTGCATCATGGGTACAACCATCCCTATGTCTATACCTGTCCATGGGGCACCATATCCCTACGTCGGTTTACTATATAGTCGGACAACAGTGTCTACAGTGGAGTCTGCAAATCGGAAGTTAATTCCTGCTTATCTACAGTGAAATCCTGCTAATCGGCAGAGGAATCCTGCTTATCCAGAGTGAAATCCTGCTAATCAGCAGTTAAATCCTGCTAATTGGCAGCAGAATCTGCTGATCAGCAGAGGAATCCTGCTAATCAGTAGTTAAATCCTGCTAATCTGCAGTGGAATCCTGCTAATCAGTAGTTAAATCCTGCTAATCTGCAGTGGAATCCTGCTAATCCAAAGTGAAATCCTGCTAATCAGTAGTTAAATCCTGCTAATCTGCAGTGGAATCCTGCTAATCAGTAGTTTAATCCTGCTAATGTGCAGTGGAATCCTGCTAATCGGAAGTTAAATCCTGCTAATCTGCAGTGGAATCCTGCTAATCAGTAGTTAAATCCTGCTAATCTGCAGTGGAATCCTGCTAATCGGAAGTTAAATCCTGCTAATCTGCAGTGGAATCCTGCTAATCCACAGTGAAATCCTGCTAATTAGCAGTGAAATCATCCAAATCAACAAACACCAATCAATGACTCATGTGAAGGTAGTTACATCAACATTTTTTAATTATTTATGGACTTTCCCCAACAATAACTGCCTGGAAAGCAAGGTGTCCAAATTAACAGGGTTCCGATTAATGAGGATTCACTGCACGTTCCCCTGTCCACATGACTTGTAATAACTTAAAGGCTGTGACTGAAACCACCATCTATTCATGACTCATGTTCTAAGAAGACTTGTTCCACCTCCAACCACAGACACAGGCTGAAACGGTTGTTGACTGTATCTTGGTTTGATCAACGCTCAGACACTGCTCTATCACAAATGCTTACACGGTCTGTAGTGTCACCTCACATCGCTCACGGAGGACTGGCGACTGGAGACTGGAGACCCTGTTGGATCTTGCTCCAACACTGGATGACTTTTACAGAAGTGAGTTTTTAGGATCATATAAAAAACATCAGACCATTTTGACTTGTGATTCCAAATATCGGATCAAGGATCCGTTTTGTGACTTGTGAAGTGATGATCCATTTGGATCCTGTTCAAAATATACACAATGCCTCCTGGTCAGGGTCGTTGCCTGGGGTCGGTGTCGTCAACTGACATCTTGCAATATTTCAATCAAAAACGGAAGATATTTTGTCGAGTATCAAATCCAACATTTGATCCTTCAGAGTTCCTTCACATGTTAATGCGTCCCTATACATGACATTGTACTCCAACCCGTAGCCAGACCTCGCTATTTCCTAGACAATCAACAGAGTTATCTCCTCATATCCTCTTGAGGAATCCTAGATGGAGCTGCTCAGGCACCTCGATGGTTTCCATGGCGATGGAGGATGGGTTGAAGGGGAAGGTGACAGGGTAGGAGAACTTGGTCTCCATCAGGAGAGTGTTGGTGGTGCCCTCGCGGGAGCGCAGCTTTTCCTGGATCTTCCGGATGAACGAGATGGGCACTCGCTCCTCGAACTCGTCGACAGGGGTGTACAGGTTCAGGATCTTCACGATCTACAATCACACAATGGGCATGGTGAATAAGAGTTAAAAAGGGAGATATGTTGCTGCTATCTACAGTATTCCTGTTTTTGTGGTGAGGTGAGGCGAGGTGAAATTGGGTTTAACGTCGCGTCCAAGATTATTGCACTTATATAGCGACGTGCATGCACGTGTATGTGTGTGTGTGGCTGCTTGTACTAGTCCACACTGATGCTGATTTATAGTGCTAGCTCACTGAGATACCATGCCGCAGTTTAACATGAATACCCCACTCAGACACAGTATACTGACTCCGAGCCGACCAGTCCTTGTTTTAGCCCCTTAATGCTGAGCGCCAGACAGGGTAACAACAAGTACAATCTTTTATCGTCTTTTTGTATGACGCGGCCCGGGATCGAACCCTGGACCTTCCGCTCTCCGGGCGGACGCTCTACCACAAGACCACGGAGGCGGTCTGTTTTTGTGGTGAAAATACCCTCTCAGTTATATTACACAAATATGATCTGGCCAGTACTCAGCAATATGACATGGCTCTACTCTACAATATTCCAGCACTATGACATGGCTCTACTCTGCAATATTCCAGCACTATGAAATGGCTCTACTCTGCAATATTCCAGCAATATTATGGGCCAAAGTAGACACAATTTATGTATAACAACTTCTTTAACTCTTTCAACACCAGTCAACCAGAAGTGTTTACTGCTGGGACACCGAGTTCCCAGAGGCTCTTGTGTGATAGATGAAGCCAACATTTATCAAAGAAAATACCTGCTTGTAAAATATATTTGCTACTACATGTTATACACCATTTGAAAGGTCTGATCCTATGGTTTATAAATATGAAAGTTATGTTTTTCACATTATTTAAAATAATGCATTTACAACTTAATTAAATTCGTAGTAAATAAAAAATGTAAGCTAATACGTTGTTAACGTCCAGATTAAGGACCAAGGAAGCGAAAACTTGACGATTTTCGGCAAATATATGATTTCATAATATCCACGTACCTATTTCTATTTTATTTTCATTGTTTACGTTATTGGAAAATCATTTTAAAAAGAATTATAATATAGTCTCTGTCATCATCCATTTCCCGATAACAGCAACTGTCCGCTCAGTAAAATGAAGAAATACCCCCGTTTTCGAGGTTTTGTATGAATAACACGTTCGTCGAAGAATGGCATATGACACATCGCTGGAAAGCTTATTCCTTCATCTACACGCTCGTAACATCGACTGGTTTTTTTCCGTAGTTATAACAAGCGATTTCATTGGATTAAAATTGGTTTCTAATGACGCTTTCTTGCTGAAATCTGCTACAAGTTTCGTGATTGGTCAATTTTGAGCACTTGACCTAAGGCAGCCAATCAAATTACAGCTGTGATACCAAGCTTGTGTTCGATAAATTACAGAAGTTTGCGAAAGAATTTTGTTAAATCGTGTTATTCTGAACGTTTTGAGCAGGAAATCACGATATATATTTAAAATATGGAACTTCGTGAATGTATCGTGCTAGGTTACGAGCTGTGACAAAGATTTTTCATGCATATATTTTTGCATTAAACATCGTGTCCGAGCCGAGAATTCAAGGCAACGAAAGCCGAGATGTCATTTGACTTACATTACACGCGATCGCACGAAAAGATGAAAATAATAACTTAGATGTAAGTTTGATTACTTTTAGATATATTTTTGTTGATTTTATATATTACTTTGTATAATATATTTAAAGATTTGTTTAAAACGTCTTTATTTTCCTCTTTGACGTGTTCGATGTGGACCCGTTGTCGAAATGTGTGTCCGAGAATTTTATTTTCAATAACATCGCGGGAAATAGTGAATAATTTTTTAATTTAACGATAAAAAATGTTAAATTGAAATGTATTTCAGACATTGTGAAATGTGATAGATTTAATAAATGAATGATATTACAGGTAGGTCCATAAAAATATAGTACTATTTTGACGTGACTACGGCTTGGCCGGATAACCGGCCTGCGGTGTCTGGGGACTCGATGCTTCTTGGCCGGATAACCGGCCTACGGTGTTGAAAGAGTTAATACTGTAAAAAGTGACATTTCCGTATACCGTATTCGACGTAATAAGCGCCCTGTTCTAATAAGCGCCCACGGCGATATTTGCTAATATATTGGCTAGTGAACAATACCAATTAGCACCCCTTCCAATTGCTCAATGTACACAACACTTATTAATTTGTGTATAATACGTACTCGTGTGTTATATGCACCCTTAATTATGGGCATTTCAATTCTGGAAGTATATAAACAGTTCAGTCTGTGTGCATAAACCACGAAATTTATCTTTCAACTCTGTCTTTTTTTTCACCAAAATAACATTCTAATAAGAGCATCCTATTTCTAATTTTGAGAGCGCACTGGGCGCTTATTACACCGAATACGGTAGATCCTTATACTGTTGTCAAGAAAGTCTGCCCTTTGAGCTGCTGTGGATTTGGCACATCATTATTAGTTGAAAATGTACGTACCTGGGGAAGTGTGAGTTTAGAGCACATCTCACACACGCTCTCAACATCAGCATCGGTCTTCCTGGCCTGCAACAGCTGTGATGCCTGGATGACTGTGTCCAGCGTGCCTGTGGCGCCAGACTCGTGCAGCTTGTTGTCTCGCAGCCACTGCTCCAGGTGGCTGATGTTGTACCTGTGACACACAGATAGGTGAGTCAGGTGAGGTCAGGTGAAGTCAGGTAAGGTCATGTGAGGTCAGGTGATGTAAGGTGAAGTCAGGTGAAGTCAGGTGAGGTCAGGTGAAGTCAGGTGAGGTCAGGTGAAGTCAGGTGAGGTCAGGTGAAGTCAGGTGAGGTCAGGTGAGGTCAGGTGATGTAAGGTGAGGTCAGGTGAAGTCAGGTGAAGTCAGGTGATGTCAGGTGAGGTCAGGTGAGGTCAGGTAAGGTCATGTGAGGTCAGGTGATGTAAGGTGAAGTCAGGTGAGGTCAGGTGAAGTCAGGTGAGGTCAGGTGAAGTCAGGTGAGGTCATGTGAGGTCAGGTGATGTAAGGTGAAGTCAGGTGAGGTCAGGTGAAGTCAGGTGAGGTCAGGTGAATTCAGGTGATGTAAGGTAAAGTCAGGTGAGGTCATGTGAGGTCAGGTGAAGTCAGGTGATGTAAGGTGAGGTCAGGTGAGGTCAGGTGAAGTCAGGTGAGGTCAGGTGATGTAAGGTAAAGTCAGGTGAGGTCATGTGAGGTCAGGTGAAGTCAGGTGATGTAAGGTGAGGTCAGGTGAAGTCAGGTGAGGTCAGGTAAGGTCAAGTGAAGTCAGGTGAGGTCAGGTGAGGTCAGATGAAATGGGGTTAAACATTGTGTTAATAACGAAATGTGCGTGGATTCATGATTTTTAGTGGTATGCAATCATAAATGGTTTGGGAACAAAGGGAATGAAAATGTTCAAGATATTCCTTCATTTGCACTGTGGCAGTGGTTGTAAGGCTGGTGAAAATATCAGCATCAGAGGTGAGGTGAGTTGAAATGGTGTTTAACATTTTGTGTGTGTGTGTGTGTGCGTGCGTGCATGTGCGCGCATGTGCATGCTTGCGTGTGTGTTGGTTTTAATAATGCTAGCTCACTGAGATATCATGTCATAGTTTCACATTGATATCCCACTCAGACATCACATACTGTCTCCGAACCAACCAGTCCTAGTTTTATCCCCTTAATGCCAAGGGGGCACAGGTGGCCCAGTCAGCACCATACCCGTGCTTGTGGGTTTCACTGAAGTGGTAAACGTCTTAGACCTGCATCACTTCAGGCTTTCCTCCCACATTAAGCTGACACCATGCCGCGATATAACTGGAATATTGTTAAAAGCGGCATTAAACCCAGCTCCTTCACTCACTAACTCACTTAATGCCAAGCACCAGGGAGGATAACAACAAGTACCATATTTTGACCTTTTGGTATGACATGGCCAAGGATCCAGGAGAGACACTCTGTCCACAATAAATCACGGAGGCAGTCCACACAAACAGTTAATCTCATGGTAGGCGAGCCTAATTTGTTGTACATTGTAGTAACAGTTGCACAAGCATCATAAGGAAAACAAGCATGGACACACTTTTTTTCAAAAGAGCCTTCAAATAATTAAGTCAGAATGAGGTGAGATGAAATTGGGTATAACGTCGCGTCCAAGATTATTGCACTTATATAGCGACGTGCATGCACGTGTATGTGTGTGTGTGGCTGCTTGTACTAGCCCGGACTGATGCCGATTTATAGTGCTAGCTCACTGAGATACCATGCCGCAGTTTAACATGAATACCCCACTCAGACACAGTATACTGACTCCGAGCCGACCAGTCCTTATTTTAGCCCCTTAATGCCAAGCGCCAGACAGGGTAACAACAAGTACCATCTTTTAACGTCTTTTGGTATGATGCGGTCGGGGATTGAACCCCGGGCCTTCTGCTCTCCGGGCGGACGCTCTACCACTAGACCACGGAAAGTCAGAGTGAGAGAGTTGACAGTTTTAACATCACATCAGCATTATGTCAGCCATGTATATACCATGAGTAATCGGGACTGGTCCAGACAAACCAGGGAGTGATATCATGAGCAGCGATCCACATTTGGGTTCAAGAATATGCAATCAACCACGTGACCGAGATGAACACCAATCCACTGAGTGTCTCTCATGACCAGCATCGGTTCCTGGGGACCGAGATGAACACGAATCCATTGATTCGGCTCTCACGACCAGCATCGGTTCCTGGGGACCGAGATAAACACGAATCCATTGATTCGCCTCTCACGACAAGCATAGGTTCCTGGGGACCGAGATGAACACGAATCCATTGATTCGCCTCTCACGTCGAGCATCGGTTCCTGGGGACCAAATCTAACCTGGAATACCCCGGGGCAACAATTTGTCAAGGGAAACTCACCTAATCTGCATACCCTTGGACCAGTTACACATGTCCTTCCTCAGCAGGAGATTGTTGAGAGCTCCAGCGCAGATGAAGTAGTAGAGCTGGAATACATCATCATCATGTATAATATATCATCATCATTATCATGTATAATATATCATCATCATCATCATCATCATGTATAATATATCTTCATCATCATCATCAGCAGCAGCAGCATCATCATGTATAATATATCTTCATCATTATCATCATCATCATCATGTATAATATATCATCATCATCATCATCATCATCATCATGTATAATATATCTTCATCATCATCATCATCATCGTCATTTTTCTTCAGCACCTTCATTTTCTTCATCATCATCACTATCAGTTATCTTCATATTATTACAATCATCATCATCATCATCATCATCATCTTATTATTATTACAATCACTTACCATATCACGTCACTAAGAGGAAAAAAACAAAACACACAGAATATAAATGCTAACCAAACAGCACACTTGTGTCTATGCATTAAGTAAGCTTTGCTTCCCAGACTGAAATAATACATAGTACACTCAGGCATTGGAAGGTACATGGCAGGAAGAAAATCTTTCGTGATTCAAAGCTCACCTGTCTGAATATCTGCTTGACGAGTTCTGGGTCGACTGCGTGCTGCGTCACTATCCTCATGAAGCTGTTCAGCTGTAAACAAGAAATCAATGCATATAGATCAACTCAAGTGAAATTGCATTGTGTATCTAAACTACAACATAGCCTGACTACTTGTGATTGCATCAATCAAAGCATACACAGAAATACACCAGCAAAAGGGAAGTAACTCATGTATGACTCTGGTACTGCATCTAATGTATTTTTGGAAATAGAAATACAGTTAACTTTGGGGTGGGGCTTTGTTCAAACATGTATGTAACCAAATAAACAGTTGTGTGGCCAGATAAACAATTGTGTACAATCAAGCTGGCAAAGGGCCTCCCAACATATATGTATTCCTTGATGAGTAAAATACTGGAAAACAGTATTTGACTACCATTTGACTTGGAATATTTAAGGATAGTTTAAGATTTTTTTGAAATGAAACATGTAAACTTTATGATGCGGGTGGTGCAATTTTTTTAAGCCTAACACACATTATTCTGTCCATGAGTGAGAATATTGTTTCGCTGAGAATACTAATAACCTACATAATTCTATGACACAAAGTCAATATATATTGCTGTGCAAGGTTAATTAATCCACCTACTTTTTACCCTTAAAGAAGCGAAAGAAGCATTTGGGTTTTATATGTTACTGCTTTCCACACAATACTTCAGGGGTTGTACACACTCCGCCCCTCCATCTCCCATGAATAGACACGGCTGGTATATACAGTGTAGTAGTGACACATGTCTGTTTATAACTGTACAGGGTTGTATGCGAAGCACAAATGCACATCCAGTACGCCTGATCATAGAGAATGGATGCAGGAAAAAAAAAAATCTACTGGGATGGACAATAATATTCATTGTACCTACACAACATGACCAGTTATGGGTGTCTGTTATTTCACCCATCAATGGATCATTGATTCATCACAGGCTCTAAAGTAATTATCTAAATGTTCAGTCTACTCCACTATTTCATAATTTTACAGGACCCTCATGCTGCCTGCAAGGACCCTCAAAATGAACGGTCAAAGTTGGCTGGGGGGTCCATCTGATGTGGGAGTAAAGAACAAAAGAATGCCCTCACCGATCTCATGAGGGAGTCGAGGGAGTACATCTTGCTGTCATCTTCGTCAGGGTCTCGGGCAGTGCTGCTGCTGCGGCCGCGGAGCCCGGAGGGTTTACTTGCCGTCAGACCTGCGATAGCCTCGTGCTCCAACACAGCCGGCACTGCAACAAACACATGGGGGGTTAGTTTGTTTGTTTGTTTATTTGTTAACTGCCTCCGTGGTCTAGTGATAGAGCGTCCGGCCGGCGAGCAGAAGGTCCGGGGTTCGATCCCCGACCACGTCATACCAAAAGACGTTAAAAGATGGTACTTGTTGTTACCCTGTCTGGCGCTCGGCATTAAGGGGCTGAAACAAGGACTGGTCGGCTCGGAGTCAGTATACTGTGTCTGAGTGGGGTATTCATGTTAAACTGCGGCATGGTATCTCAGTGAGCTAGCACTATAAATCAGCATCAGTGTGGACTAGTACAAGCAGCCACACAAACACACACGAACATGCACGTCGCTATATAAGTGCAATAATCTTGGACGCGACGTTAAACCCAATTTCACCTAACCTCGCCTTGTTTATTTGTTTGTTGTTTTACGCCAAACAATATTCCAGGTATATGAAGGCAGTCTGTAAATATCGAGTCTGGACCAGATAATCCAGTGATTGACAACATGAGCATGGATCCACGCAATTGAGATACGGTGACATGCATCAACCAAGTCAGTGAGCCCGACCACCTGATCCCGTTAGTCGTCTTTTACGACAAGCATGGGTTACTGAAGACCTGTTCTAACCCGGAACTTCACAGGTCGTAGGGGTTAGTGTGTGCATGTAGTGGGAGAATACATATGTACAGGCACTATTTATTCACGATGTGATGCATCAGTTCACCAGATTCATACAGACTCAAATAGACCTACACAGGCTCACACACTCACATTGACCAACACAGACTCAAATAGACCCATACACTCATATCGACACTCACACACTCACATCGACACTCACACATTCACAAAGACCCAGACTGACGCTCACATAGACTCAGTCAAACCCACACTGACTCACACTCACATAGACTCACACTGACTCACACTCACATAGACTCACTCAGACTCACACAGACTCACACTGACTCACACTCACATAGACTCACTCAGACTCACACAGACTCACACTGACTCACACTCACATAGACTCACACAGACTCACACTGACTCACACTCACATAGACTCACACAGACTCACACTGACTCACACTCACATAGACTCACACATACACCCACAGACTCACACAGACTCACCTATATTGGGTTGTATCATCTCCTGCATGACCTTGATGAGGCCCTGGTACACCCACACCGCCAGGTCACTGAACACCTGCCTGTACTCGGACAGGTCGAAGTTGCGGAGACACTGCTCGTTCTGCTTGGGGGTGTTCTCGGCCTGGAACGTCTTCTCCCCACTGTACTGCTTGAGTGTGTGCAGCAGCCGGCACGTGTTGGCTAGCCACATCGTACACCGCTCCATGTCGTCAGGGTGCTTCTGTCAGACACACACAACAACGGGGTGAGTGAGTTAAAATATACAATTCAAAAAAAGTTAGCAATCTTATAGCGAGTGTGTGAGTTTGGTTTAACGCCCCTTTTAACAGTATTCCACTTACCACTTCGGTGAAACCCACAAGCACGGGTATGGTGCTGACAAACCTAGAAACATACTCGGGGCCAACCAGGATTCGAACCCATAATCAAAGGTTTCTGGCGTGCCCAAGGGACGCAACACTGCACAGCGAATCGCGGTGCCTTAGACGACTGGGCCACCCGTGCCCCCTAGCGATCTTATATATTTTGCAGGATATTTTTTGTAATGGAGACTGTGCACCTAATCTCATAAATATATCCCCCAAACTATTCATGTATCCAAACCTTTTTTGTTCAGAATATATATCCCATTGGCGATTCATTCAGAAAAAAACAAGCAATATGAACAGCAAAACAGTAAATGGCACTAATTCAATTGAAAAGTTCAGCGAAAAGGGGTTGTTGATAAAGTTAAAAATGAACTTAAAAGAAATAGAGATTGCATCCACCGGCACACAGAACATTTGAGATTGGTCTCAGGCCTGCTATCATAACTTGCTGATCCCCTCCTAACTGCAATTTTATGTACCGTATTCGACGTAATAAGCGCCCCGCTCTAATACGCGCCCACGGCGGTATTTGCTGATATATTGGCTAGTGAAAAATCTCAGTTAGCACCCCGATCGGTCCGATTGATCAATGTTCACAAGACTTATTTATTCGTGTACAATACGCACTCGTGTGTTATATGCACCCTTAATTATGGGCAATGAAATTTTAGAAAAATATATCTGTCGTACATAAACATTTCAGGCTGTCAGCATAAACCACGAAACTTATCTTTCAACTGTTTTTTTCACCAAAATAGTATTCTAATAAGAGCTCTTATTTCTAATTTTGAGAGCGCCCTGGGCGTTTATTACGTTGAATACAGTAACATTTTTTCATCCCCAGCAAGTTTTAATCCCCACAATGATATGACTGGTTGTCTGGTTGCCATGGAAATTAATTTTCTGCCTTCTCATTGTCCATCTTAAACATGGCTGTGAATTATTTAAAAAATGTATTACTTTAGTAACGATATTCATCAATTTGTATCAATACATCATTGACCCATTGAAATTGTGATATGCAATTTCATCATTCCACTTTGGAGATGCCACTAAACATTGAAGCGTGGTAACTTGTCCCACTGGGTCACCAGTGCCCCTACGTGCCCCCAGATGGTGGTGAAGAAGCTGTTAGCATCCATGCTTACCTTGACTACCTTCTTGATGCTGTTGATCGTGCCAGTCAGTAGGGAGCGGACCTTCTCGTCATCGTTGGTGTAGTCGGTGTGACGCACGCACATGAACAGGATGTAGGCTGGCAGGCCAGGGATCTGCCCAGACGAGAACTTGGCCCGCAAGTCTGTAAAGTATACAAGAATCATCATCATCATCATCATCATCATCATTGGAATCATCATCGTCGTTGTCATCATCATCATCATTGAAATTATCATCGTCATTGTCATCATCATCGTTGTCTTTGTCATCATCATCGTCGTCATCATCATCATCATTGGAATCATCATCGTCGTTGTCATCATCATCATCATCATCATCATTGGAATCATCATCGTCGTCATCATCATCATTGGAATCATCATCGCCGTTGTCATCATCATCATCATAATCATTGGAATCATCATCGTCGTCATCATCATCATCATTGGAATCATCATCGTCGTCGTCATTGTCATCATCATTATCATCGTCGTTGTCATCATCATCGTCGTCGTCATCATCCTCATTGGAATCATCATCGTCGTTGTCATCATCATCGTCGTCGTCATCATCATTGCTATTACTGTTACCAATACCACCTATCTGATCCCAATCTGAATTAACTGTGTCATATGGCCTGTGACGCAGGGGTAGCATTATGCAGATGGCTGTTACAATGAATGCTCGTTCCACCCGTGACGAACAGGTCTGATTGTTGATGAAATATAGTGATAGCTAAATAGACAGATTTTTTATTCATGCACCGATTGTCTTTAAATGTAATATCCAGTTATGTATGACTGTTTAATAATCCCATACCAACTTTGACCGGAGTAGGTCCAATAGTTTTTCAGATATTGTAGTAAACGTCGGTACCTTAAATTAACTTCCAGACTATAGAGTGTGAAGACTATTTCTGTAGTTATTATTGCTGTTAAACCACTCCTGCCTTCAGCCATACTCACCAAGTATCAGGTTCTTCAACAGGGCGCCTTCATCCTCCCTCTTGTACTCCAGCATGCCCAGGAATATCCTCTGTCTGTGTTTCACCGTCGCCAGGGCACCATTGGCGCTACTCCTCTCCTCTTGCTCCAGCTCTGCTTGAATCTCCGCAGCTGCAAACGACATCAACACCGGTATCACACAGAGCAAGGATTGACAATCGTCAGTGTTACTGCAAGCCTACTGGTCAACAGACGGCAATAACATTCATAATGATGCATTTAAGTCAAGGGATCCTTGTGACAACCCTCAAGCAAGTGTAGCGCTATGTTGATCGGAACTCCCATACCCTAATATAGACTTACGACAGTTGTAGCACTAATATCGCTTTGTGGAATGGTGCCTCGGGGGGAACTATTCCGACCCTGATTCCCAGAGGGTTGGATCTGATGATTTGTTTGTTTGGTATTTGGTAACACCACACTCAGCAATATTCCAGATATATGATGGCGGTCTGTAAATAATTGGGCCTGGGCCAGACAATCCAGTGACTGACATCATGAGCATCAATCCACGCAATTGGGATACGATGACAAGCATCAACTGAGTCAGTGAGCCTGACCACACGATCCAGTTAGTAGCTTTTCATGACGCCTATTAAGATAAGCATTGTCGCCTCTTACAGCAAGCATGGATTGCTGGAGACCTATTCTAACCCGGATCTTCATTGGATGGATTTGATGAACACTGCTTCACGTACATTAATCTCTTCTCTGCTACTTGACCATGAGGATTTCAAACACCCTTGAAATTGACACAAGTCCAAGAGCTTTGTATTCATGTGAATACTCATGCATAAAATCAACAATGATCTGTTAAAATATTGATATCCGACTCAAAACAAGTTACCGAACGCCCAGAACTGGAGAGTTCTGACATGCAATACCCACCAGCCATGACCTTTCAACCATAGTCATATGAAAAAAATCAGGTGTACTCTAACTTCTTTTGAGTAGCATATATACAGTCTGCAGCCACAGCGAATAGTCCAAAGTCCGACTTTATTAAACTTTAGCATCTCAATACACTTTACACTATACATGATAAAATCTACATATACTACACAAAAGAAGTCAAGGAACATCCGTCATGCCATGACAGATAGCAATATCAAAGAATCGGATGTTCTTTAACTTATTTGAGTAGTATATTTAGAAAATAGAATCCATCCCTGGGAAATCATTATTAAACCCCAAAATATATTTCAACAATTAAGATCAATTTGAATTGAGAAATATGTCATTTGCATGTGTCCATAATAGTATAAAAAATCTGGTCGGACTGAGATGAAAAGCACACTACATATATCCAACATGCATGCCAGGTTTATGTGACAGTCATATGACACACCTAGCTATTGAATATATCACACGTGTGACAGGTGTTATACATCCCTGCTGTGATATATACATCATCTGTACAAACAATCAAGTCACACATAATAAATCGAAACACTGTGTCTAGTTTGATGTTCATGCAAACCAAAACATTTCTACTGCTACTGACACATCACTTCAAAAAAAAGAATTATGAGCTTGTTTGTGGTATTTATGTGGTGAATGAGTGAGTGAATCACAGAGCCTGACTACCAGAGTGAGTGAGTGAGTGAGTATGGTTTTTATGCAGATTTTAGCAATGTTCCAGCAATATAACGGCGGGGGACATCACAAATTGGCTCAACACATTGTACCCATGTCAGGATTCGAACCCGGGTCTTCGGCATGACGAGCTAATGTTAAACCACTAGGCTACCTGATTGCCCCTTATTCAAAAAGTATGAGCATGTTTGTGGTATTTATGTGGTGAATGAGTGAGTGAATCACAAAGCCTGACTACCAGAAAGATTCTGGCACAGACTGTATAGTGGAGCAAAATTATAAAAAAATATTTTTGTTATGGGATCTTTATATTAAATCTTACAATCTTAAAGACACACATACACTAAGATTGCATGCATTTCAAACCAAATTCAAATATCTATATAACTCATAACAACATCAGTTAACTGATTTTATCACAAAAAGTTCAAATCAAACAGTATTTCAAACTTCTAGAAATAATCACTTTGACACAAAGGGGTGAACTGGAAACATCTACTTATAAACATTTATGAAACCTTCACCCCCCAATACACAAATGGTACCACTCTGGCTTTCATGTGGAGCATACCATTGTTAGAATGAGGGGTGAATTGTGACTTGACAACATGATCTTACCAGATGTAGGACTGAGCGAGATGGAGGATGAAATTGTGAGGGAGCGGTGCAAATGTCCTAGGTCAGCAGTAAATAAAGGGAGAGCACTCTTGTTATACTGCTACAAACCTAATTCGACCATCATAGGCCACAAGTCATTCAGCAAAATGTAACAGTGGGGGCTCTACTGTAGCAAAAATAAATGTCCTTATTCAACATTTAATTGAAAGGAATAACAACGGACCTCTTTGGTCAAATTGAAATGAAACTTTGAAACATTGGTACAAGCTCATAAAAATCCATTTTGTCTTTCTTATATTTTGACTTGTTTGACTTGTACCATATGTTTCCGTGTTTTTTCATGTGAACAATTCACCTGCCTTTGCATGTGTTTGTGATTGGTGAAAACGGTTGGGCAGGGTATGTTCACCTTTTCGCGCACACTTTGTATCATCACTATTTGATAGTGATTCATAAACACAAGTATGACATGGTTGTAACTGTACAATGGACAACCGCTTTTAAAAGAGAATTATTTTGATTCTGGAAATGGTTTTTGTCACTTTTCTTACACACATGTTGGAGAATTCTTCTATGACAAATGTGGCTAAAAGAGGCTAAAAGGGAGACATTTTCCAGCAAACAGCTGCTTCTGAACAAGGCCCACTTGCACAAAGCGATCTTAGCGCTAAGATGATCATAACACCCATACTTCAACATAGGCTTATGATAGTCTTAGCGCTATGATCGCTTTGTGCAAGTGGGCCCAGGTTCAGACAAACCCTGCATATGATAATAGAGTTGAAAAAAACAAAAAACAAAACAGATTCAGCTATTTTCTGCACTATTTCAAATGTAAACCATGTTTCAGCTGTTTAAGCTGTACTTTACTCAAAGACATCCAGTTCATCTTGTTCAAGTTTAAAGGATCTTAAAAATAACACTTAAAATTGTTTTTGAACCTTGAATGTTTACAATTTTCTCAGAAGTAACCAATCCAAAATAAAAACATATAATGTTAAAAACTTTATTAAATTTTTATTTTTATTTTTATTTTATATTTCTACCACTTGCACTGGTTTTGAAACATTATCTGAAAACCAGAGGACCCAACATGAGAGTGGGTTATTTCAGTAGTTTGGTTGTACACCAAACAACCCTTGTATAAGAGACAAGCTTGTAACCAAGCATACCTTCGCCATCTTTGAGCTTCTTCGAGTACACTTTCAGCATCTTCTTCAATTTCCTGATCTGATCGGACTGTTTGTCGATCATCTCACGTAGATCCTACAAGGTCAAAATGTCAAAAGGTCAAGGTCATGGTCATACACACATTTTGTTCTTTACCTAACTTTGCAGTCCCTTTTCAAAATAACAATCCATTGTGTCTGTTACAACTCGCATTTACCTATGTTTGACTTTTAGGAAGTGACCATTATTTTAGGCCAGAGTTATTAAAATCCCAGCTGTATCCATTGACCTGTAAACGTTTACTTCTGGGACAGGCAATCCAGGGACTGACACCATGGAAAGCAGTCTATACTCACCGCCAAAAACAAAACGTGAATACCATACATGTTGGTTAAAAAATGAAGACTTACTCATATTGAAGAGGTATTTAGATTGGTTTGATGCACAAACTTGTATGTAATGCGATAACTCACCAGGTTTTCACTCGTGAGTCTTGTAATCTCATGCTGCATCGTTGCCTCGATCCTTGCCTCGGGCCCAAGCGTGAGGTTCTATAAAACCAAGCATTCTATCTTACCACACTATACTCTCTGACCTCACAGGGTTCTTCAGGGAAGACTAAAAGGAGCAAGCTTCTAACCCTGGTCGCAACATCCCCCTCCAAATTAGAGAATAACATACATGATTTAACATTTTGTGAGATCACCATACTGTATTTGACGTAATAAGTGCCCAGGGCGCTCTCAAAATTAGAAATAGGGGCTCTTATTAGAATATTATTTTGGTGGAAAAAAAACATAGTTGAAAGATAAATTTTGTGGTTTGTGCTGACAGCCTGAAATGTGTATATACAACAGATACATTTTTCCAAAATTTAATTGCCCATAAATAAGGGTGCATATAACACACTCGTGCATATTATACCGAATAAATAAGTCTTTTGTACATTGATCAATCGGAAGGGATGCTAATTGGGTCTTATTCACTAGTCAATATATCAGCAAATATCGCCATGGGCGCTTATTACAGCGGAGCGCTTATTACGTCGTATACAGTAGTTTGAATCATACAACCATCTTATAGCATTGGGAATTAAATTTCTTTTCATGGATATTTTGTACCCAGGCATGGCTTTAGGGCAGACCATTTGGTATTCGGGGCGGGGGGAGGCTTGAGACTTTGTATGGAGACTAGATATGTTATCACTTACAACTGCAAACCCGGGCAATTTTTAATGAAAACTTTGAGCCAAATATCAAATGGGCAGTCCTTTAGCTGTGTTACGCAGAATAAAACACTCATATATAATTATACACAATACAATTCATCTCCTCTAAAGATTGTTTTCTTACACATATGTGGAATGAGGATGATACTGTTGATAGACTTGCTTTTTTATAATCTAGATTTTTATAATCTGGTTTCGGTTTCATAAAAAAACTAATAAAAAAAACAAAGTCACGAGGCAGGACTAACTAAACATGGGAAACCGCCTGCAAAGTATCAGAAACTGAAAGAAAATTGTGTTTTTTTAACTTCCAAAATTTGTTCACTTTAATCCAGGAAACAAGAAAAATTTCTGGGCAAAACTATGAACACAAGAACTGAACACAACTGTACTGACAAAACCAAACCGTTCTTCTCTATCTAATGAGTGTGTGTGTTTGTTGCTTAACGCTGCACCCAGCAATATTCCAGCTAAATGGCCTGTAAATAATCCGGACCAGATAATCCAGTGACTGATATTGTGAACAACAGTCCATGACACACAATAGATGAGCACAATGAACGTACACCATATTCAAAGCAAATAAACAACTATTTGTTATCAAAGCAAATGAAATGAATACTTAAACTGTGACTTGAACAACGATGAACTCAAATAAATTGAATCACTATGACCAACAACATTCTCGAGTGTTCTTGTGTCCATGTTTCAATACTCCAATGTCTGAACTTCTTTCGTTTTATTACCACACATTTGCTGATTTGAAACCTATAATTGACCAATCAGAATATGGTACGTTCCACATTCATGTTAGAATAATTATGAACTAAACTGATTTTCATAGCTGGTTACACACAAAACACTATCCAGGCACAATGGCTGGGACACTTTTGAACATGTCAAACACCCTACTATCACCATTAAATTTTTGAAAATGACCTAAAAAAGAGAATAAGAAGGTATAGATCCTCCATTATCTCTTGTTATATCGCTTGTTATTTAACAAGTTATTAATAACCGTGAAGATTTGACAAAAATGTTATCATTCATCATCATATAGCTAACTAAACTATAGTTATATTAAACAATAACTCCTTAATGTTTTTTGAGTAGTATATTTGGTGTATGACAAGGTCCCACATAAGCAGATGGATTTTAGATATTACAATTTGTAAATCAAATCTGTACATTCAGTCCAATAAGGTATCGGAAAATATCGTAAATTCTATACCAGGTGAATGTTTAAAAGGTTATATTTTAATGGACACAAAAACTACTCTCAGATTTTGATACCGAACAAAATGAACTCTCAACAGAAATGTCCTTAAGTGAGGGACGTTTAGAAAAACGTAACTCGGGCGTAAACATTCAACATGAAATACATACACTTGTTATCTCATTCAGCTGCAATTCAAAGCAATTAATGTTAGAATGAAAGCTAGACATTGCAAAATATTAAAACTACGACATAACAAACTTCTATCTTCTAGAGCTTTCTATTAAAATATGTAATTTTCTCTTTAATACATAACATCATTTTTTTTATAAAACCGGACAACATGAGTACTCAAAAGAAAGTACTCTTTTTCCTCTTTAAAATGAATACCCACATGTTACATAAATATTTCAGAGAAAACGGGGAAAAAAAAAAAATTCAATGCATACCTGTCCAATGAGTTTCTGTTGTCGGTCATTCTCTTTCTTCAGCTCCTTGATCTCAATGTGTAAATCGTCCTCCTTCTTCTTGAAGTCCTTCTCTGTCTTGTCTAACTGAGTCTGAAGCAGCCTGGTAAACAAGAAAGTTTAAAATGTTAAAACAAATCAAAACTAGATCATGGGATTCAGCTTACAGATATTAAAATCCTTTTCAAACGACCAATGAAACCTTGCGAGTTTCGACCTCGATAATCCGTAAACCCTCTTTCAGGGCAATTGCATTCAGGAACATTTGCATATACACAAAGGGCATTAATGATCAATCGTTAACACAAAAGTTCTGAATGATTCTTCAAAATAGTGCAACGGTGGTTCCAGAATATCAAGATTTCCATGAACACACATCGCAATATAAAAAAACATTTAAAAAATGACATATATTCAAGATCATAATCATGATAATAACTATAATAGATGAAACACATTCTGAAATAAATAGAAAAAAATTAGTGATGAATTAGGCAAAACAAACAATGTTTATATATTCAAGTTATTTCAGGATACATACAAAATAGGAAATATATGCATTTCAAATATATTGATCTAATATCACCAACAAAGTAAGAAGAATCTAGCTAACATAGAAATCAAACAGCCACTCATCATGAAGTTCAGGCCTGAAAATTCAACACATGATTACTAAGTGAAAAAATATCAGAAATCGTTCAGACTGCATACAGAAACATTATTTCAGAAATGAGTATTTTGTTTTAAAATGCTACTTGTGGGTATTCATTTTAAAGCATTCTTCTTCCCATTCCAAATGAATACCCACAGTATCGACTTTTTTGTAGAAAATACTAAATTATTCAGAACTTACAAGTTCTCTACATCCATGGATCTGATTATAAGGCTGAATCATGATGTAGATAGCCTCTCAGCAGGGAGAGTAAGCCCCATCAATGCCTCAGCTGCCCATTACAACATTGTTCAACACACCGGAAAGACTAAAAATGTTTTTCTCACGAGAAAATATCACTTATTTCCCAAGGACGGCAATTGGGGGTTAGCAGTCTATATATCAGCGTCATCCCCACTTCAGCTGTAACAGAAAGTGTTACAATTATAACCCAGTTTAACACCTATATGGATATATGTATCACCTACAACCGAATAATTTGGAAGAGTGAGAGTGAGTGAGTTGGTTTTAACACAGCTTTTAACAGTATTCCAGTTCGTCTTTGCATGTCAGCTTAGAGTGGGAAGAAAGCCCCAACTGATGCAGGTCTTTCAGGTGAAACCCACGAGCACGGGTATGGTGCTGACAAAACTAGAAACAGAATTAGGGCAAATCCACAATCATAAGTTTCGGGCACGTCCAAGGGACACAACTCTGCACAGCGAATGCGGTGCCTTTAACGAGTGGGCCACACGTGCCCCCCTTTGAGTTAGTCAGACAACAAATTTAAGACTTGTAACCAGTTCAAAACATTTTAAACTGTAGCGTCCCAATATGCAATATGGCTTATAGTCAATGGAGAGAAGGGCCAATAAGGTGTCTCCATTCAGAGTCAGAGTGAGTGAGTGAGTATGGTTTTACGCTGCTTTTAGCAATATTCCAGCAATATCACGGCGGGGGGACACCAGAAATGGGCTTCACGCATTGTACCCATGTCGGGAATCGAACCCGGGTCTTCGTCGAACGCTTTAACCACTAGGCTACCCGACCACCCCGATCTTGCATACAGAAATGCATGCATTAAATGAAAAACTCAAATGTATAAAAACAGCATGTGTAAATACCCAATGAAGTTTTTTCAGCATGCGTACAACAGAGCTAATTTCCAAAACACAATTATGAGCTAATTTACTTTCTGCATGAGTCAAGCCTATATATTTAGAACTGTTATGCATCTAAAACATTATTTCATTTTTTTAAATCTTAAAATGTTCACTTACATGTATTTTGGAAAAAAAACAATATTAAGCCCTTAACATTTGAAAAAACCCAATTATGTCATCTGCCTTTTAATCCATTAAACTGTCTTCAGTCAATTTTTTGTCAATAGTGCCCTATTAGTACTTCTTGTCTTTACTGTTGAAAATAAATAACATGTATACTGCACACTCGACTTGCGTTTCTTTTGCGTGTGAGTATATTTAGAACCGTTACACATCTAAAACATTATTTCATTTTTTTTTAATCTTAAAATGTTTACTTACATGTATTTTGGAAAAAACCCAATATTAAGCCCTTAACATTTGAAAAAAACCCAATTATGTCATCTGCCTTTTAATCCATTAAACTGTCTTCAGTCAATTTTTTGTCAATAGTGCCCTATAAGTATTTCTTGTCTTTACTGTTGAAAATAAATAACATGTATACTGCATACTTCACTTGCGTTTCTTTTGCGTGTGAGTATATTTAGAACCGTTACATTATTTCATTTTTTTTTAAATCTTAAAATGTTCACCTACATGTATTTTGGGAAAAACACAAAAACATATTGGTTACCCAATGAAAAATGTGATAACCCAATTAAAATAGAAACCCAAGAGAAAAAACTCAAATGCTGAAAAAGTTATCTGGAGCCCTGTCTAAGCAACCAGTGGATGCTGGACACGAAGTAAGCAAGCAATACATAGCCATATGGTTTAGCAGCTAGAGCAACATAAGCCACGAGTGTTGAGTAGTTGGGAGTTCAATATTCTGTCGTCAACGCACTGACGTTTCCAACACGAACCCGCAGCAAAGTGGGTGTTAACACGGACATTTTTTCACGTTGTCAAATATTGACTTCTCCAGTTGTGTAAACGGATACTCTCCTATCCATGTAGCCATTATATTTGCAGATCCCATTCTCAGGAGTTGTATGATAAATATGGGGCAGGTCATATGCCAAGTGCTACAGCATGTCATAACTTCTGGATGTCACTCATGACAGAACTACTCACTGGGCTGAATGAATCATCATCATAATCATCTATTTTATTTGATCCTCATTAATTGCTTTTATATTTCCATTAAGCATCATAAATGACTGACTTCATCATTATAGAGTAAGGATAAGAATTTATGGATGAACAACTTCTTTATTACAACAAGCGTATAGTCAACGAAGTCATCTATATCCCCCACCATTTTAACACGTTATGGTCAAAAACCAGGTAACTGACCCAACATTTCTCTTAGGCCATGTCAAAATAGCTGCAATGGAAATTCTAAAATAAACATTCATAAAACTCCTTAATATCAAATGGCACCAGTTCAGTATGTGCTTTATATACAGACATGCAATGTTTGACTAGGAAATATTTAACAGTTTATTTGTTATACTCCATAAGTGAACCCACCCTATATTAAAACTTAAATCCAACTTATTGCAATGGAAACATAAAAAATATAAATTTCTTAAATTCCTAAATAGCAAAAGGCAGTTCAGTATGTGTCTGGTAAACATGCATAGTTTTGTTAGAAAGTATTGAATGGGTTTTGAGTTATGCTCCAGAAACAAACACTACCCAATAGAACCTAAGTCCAACTTGTTGCAATGGAAACGTAAAAAATAAAAATTGATAAAATTCCTAAATAGCAAAAGGCACCAGTTCAGTATGTGCCTAGTAGACATGCAAAGTTTTGTAAGAAAGTATTTAACAGTTTTTGAGTTATGCTCCGGAAACGAACACCACCCTTATAGAACCTAACTCCAACTTGTTGCCATGGAAACGTAAAACATAAAAATTTATAAAATTCCTAAATAGCAAACGGCGGGATAATTAAGTGAGTGAGTGAGTATGGTTTAATGCCGCTTTTAGCAATATTCCAGCAATATCACGGCGGGGGACACCAGAAATGGGCTTCACACATTGTACCCATGTCGGAAATCGAACCCGGGTCTTTGGCGTTACGAGCGAACGCTTTTTAACCACTAGGCTACCCGACCGCCCCTATTACAATTAAGAGCGACGTTTCGGTGCAGGTTCTGACGCCGTTATCAAGGTATCACTTGCTTGATAACGGTGTTAAAACCTACACCAAAACGTCGCTCTTAATTGTAATAAAGAAGTTGTTCATCCATAAATTCTTATCCTTACTCAGTACTCCTAAATGCCTATCAAAGAAGTTATTCATCATTACCGTTATCATGGTTATCACTTCTAAATTTCACCATTGTTATAATCACAATTCAAAAATGTTTTTTTATATGCATGAAGCTTATTACATTTGCTGTTCTTACATGTACCTATATATTCTCTCTCTCTTATAGCATCCATTCACCTGATGAAGGAATGAGCATATACTCCGAAATGTTGTGTTCCTCATAATAAAGAAGTTGACATCTATAAATAATCCCAATTGCGTGGTTCAATGCTCATGATATCAATCACTGGATTGTCTGGTCCAGAGTCGATTATTTACAAACTGTCGTCATATAGCTGGAATATTGCTGAGTGCGGCGTTAAGCAACAAGCCAAACCAAAACCAAAACCAAAACTCTTCCTTTGTAAGTGATAGTGAGATTTATCATATAATCGACAATAATATTACAAGAATTGTCACCTCAATTCCCAAATATAACGAGAAGGGTAATCGGAAACCCAAATATTTCTTTAATAACCAAAAGCAGTGTCTGAGATATTGACTAGACAACACACTGTATGATAATGGCTTCACTGGGATTGTATCTAGAGGACTACGATACTTTGGTCTATAGGACTACCACATCAGCGTGTGTACCTTCCGGACCATCACATCCCTGCTACACATGCAGGAATGCTTTATGGCAAGATGCTGGTGAGATTACTTGGGTAGCTATCAGTTTTTTGTTAAGGTCACATATTTACCTACACTATATATAACATTCCTCATGGGGATGCAACAATCTAGGTGAAAGGCTGGACATTTGGCTCTCCCTCTTCTGAATCGGAGCCGGGATGCTGGAGTGTGTCGGACAATACACAGATAGGTATTTGCAACAATACAGGTTTACACTGTCAGATACTGGGCGTTGGGTTGAGGGTGGTGTAGGTGTTCTCAGACAAGATAAAATGTTAGACCACAAAGGATGGCCTCACCTCATACAATACTTTGTCTTGAGAGAGTTGGTGAATAAGATTTCATTCTTGGGA